GTCGATGGATAGCCTCCCCATAGAGGAATACTATGTAAGTTTTGAGGTTTTCACGGCGATGACAATGAAGAAAGTCGTCTTCTGGGTTTAGGCACCGTGTATTCTTCGTTTTGGCCGACGTTTCGGAGGAACGTAGCGCCTCCATCTTCAGAGCAGTTGAATGGCTTGGAATGCGGAGAGCAGTAGCTGTGTGTGTCGATGGATAGTATTCCTCTATGGGGAGGCTATCCATCGACACACACAGCTACTGCTCTCCGCATTCCAAGCCATTCAACTGCTCTGAAGATGGAGGCGCTACGTTCCTCCGAAACGTCGGCCAAAACGAAGAATACACGGTGCCTAAACCCAGGAGACGACTTTCTTAATTTGAACTACTTTAAAACTTTGGCACGTCCGAGAAAGTGTCTTAGTTGAGGCAGCTAAGCACATAGAAAATCGTGGTCGAGTCTTCTGAGTCACGGCCCCGCAGATCGCCTGTCCTGCCTCTGCTTTGGGTGGGCATTCTCTGTCCCTTCAGGCAAACACTCGTATAGTAGACTATTGCCGGTTCCTTCTACGTCCTTTCTATTCATTATTCACTAATCATTTTGTCACGTGACTGAGTTAGTATAAACGGGTTTCGGATTGGTATGTGGACTTATTGTGTTCTTACATCTCGGAATTACATGTAGCTATGGCTCTGCACAGATCATCACAAACCACACTAGTTTTCTCAGCTTGTTACAGCCTCCAAAAGTCGTTGCCTAATTACAGTCTCCTAATACGGCCTTACGGCTCCAGAACTGCACTCTCTAACCGCCGACTCATGTCAAAGTCAAAGTCACGTTACGAGCGACAGTCAGTCTGCCAGTCAGTCTTGGTGTCAAGCTCCATCTGGGGCCCAAAACCAGATTTTTCAAAGTCAAAGTCACATTGCGACTGACGGTCAGTCAGACGGTAAGTCTTAGTGTAGAGCCCCATAACCAGATATTTATTACTGTTTGACAGTTATGGTCTTGTTTTTGTGAGGCGCCCTCTCTGAAGAGAGGACGGGTCTGTCTTTCGTATATGCTAATGACCCTTTCCAGGGCAGTCTTTCCCGGGTCCGAGTCCCTTGGAACTCGAGACCATATCTTACTGTCTCAGATTTGAGACTTCCCTTTTCTTCGCCTCCTACGACTTGCAAGGTCACGGTGGAGGTATTCGACCCCAACTCCATATGGGTTTTATGATCACAAAATCAAAGTCAAAGTCACAGATCAGATTTTTGTTCAAGCTGCCTCGTTATATAGCCTCGGGAAAGGCCGCGGCATAGCTCAAGCGGTTAGTCGCTGGCTTCTCACCGCGGCGGCCCGGGTTCGAGCCCGGGTCTGGTCAAGTGAGATTTGTGGTGGACAAAGTGGAGCTGTGGCATGTTTTCTCCGAGTACTTCGGTTTTCCCTGCCAATCTTCATTCCACCAAATTCTCCATCATCATAATCACCCGGTGCAGGTACATACAATAGGATAATCAGTTCCGTGTGGACCAAGCTGGACTCCCCACTCACTATGCGAATTTAATTATTTTAGCCTCGGTACGGACCGCACAGAAAACACCGCTTCCAACAGTTCTACTGCCATATGACGTCACTGCTGTAGCGGAGAGGTGTTTATTGCGTCGTCGCCTAGCAACGGGTGAAGTATTTGGTGACGAGGCGTGAATTGGCGTGACGTAACATATTGCACTTTTGCGTCCCTGTTCATTGTACCATTGCCTAGCAATGGCTGGCTCTTCCATTCTCCATATCACAATATCAGCATCCTACGCGATACAGTCGTTAAATTAGCACCAAATAAATAAACTGCACAATAATACGGCGGTAAACAATATAAAATAAGCTTCTTTGTAAGGTTTCGCATGTTTTACCCGCTGATTTGGGGTAAATAAAAATATTGTGGCATGTAGACCCGTTGCAAGGCAACGACCACGATTGAAACAGTTATACAACAGTCATTACTGAGAAACGGCTTCGCAAACAAGTATTTCTGAGCAGCAACAATTGGAAACAGCAATAGAGGAACGGTATTTTCTGTGTGGTCCGTGCCAAGATGTTATAAATAGAGCAGTTCGTGCGAGTCAGTTAGTTGAGAGTCAGAAGTTGGAGCAATGAGCTGGTGAGTCAGTCAAGGAACTGCTGAGGTTCAGTCGTTGTGAGCTGTTGCTGTAAGAAGCTGGTAGCTGAGGCCGGGGATATTTCGGGAACCCAGAGGAACGGGGGAACGTCCGCCTTTGGAAGGCGTTACCGAGCAACGGCTATTGAAGACGTGACTGTGGTTACTAATGTGTGTGTGTGTGTGTGTAATAGTGAATTGTAAGAAATAGTCGAAGAGTTCAATAAATCCAATTACCAATCCAAAACCCCGTCTATAATCAATTACGTGATAATATATTCTGCGATATAAAGGCGTTTATTCCAGACTACACGGCGCTATATCCCAGGAGGCAGAACTCTTCAAGCCACTGCTCTAAGAGTCTCAGATCCTGTTCATTTATATTTGTTCATAACTGCCATAATAAATTAATGATTTCATCGAGGAAAGGAATTCGTTTGGACTTATTCAGTTTACTAGTGGGACTAAGGACAACATGTAAGAACTCGCGTCTCTAAACATATGTTGCGACTGTTTTCGTTAAAATTGATTCTACAATTTACACTGACGTTTAGGACCGACTCCGAAGCAGTTTGAACACTAGATTAGCAGGCTACCCATCAGGACCTTCTAGAAGCCTAATGATTATTGCAGTAGGTTAGTGCTCAAAAGGTTCCTGTTTGTCCCGCAACCATTTTCACAGATCTTACAAGTATAAAACAACAGTACAAAGCGTGGTAGGATAATGGCAACCAATCACCTGAATACGGGAGAAGATAACTCTCGAAACGTCATACATATTATAATATACTACCTGAGTTAATGGATAATATGCAACATGATATTCGTGTAACGCAAGAACTCAGTATATTCCCCATATAAACCGATAATCGAGTCCCGGTCTCTGGATTATGAAGCAGTAGCGCTAACCAGTATGCCGATGCATTCGGTATTCATTCGTCAAATGAGAATTATAATAATAATAATAATAATAATAATAATAATAATAATAATAATAATAACGTATTCAGATATTCTCTTTAATCTTCAAAGCATCTGCAGCATAAATATTGAATGGGAAGTATGAACTGAATCAATCTGTGTTAAAATTCTTGCATGCGACCTGCATATGTTTCGTGACTTCCTGACCTCAACGGCGTTTGTACTGGGATGACTCGGAAGGCTTCGGTCTGCTGGTGCTGTCTGCTGGAATGTGTATGCAGAAAAGCCCGAAGTTGCAAAAGTAAAAAGCAAAGAGAAAGCGAAGCGGGTTGCCGGAAACAGGTAGAACATCACTCTTGCCTCGAATATAAGGGGAGTTCATAGAACTAATTATAAATTAAATAATTAAGACTACTTTCAACACTCCCTTATTACAATAAACAGACATAAAATTAGCATGCAATTGCCCAGTGCTGGGTAACAACCAAATTGGCGAGAAGTCAAATTTATATACAAAGGAAAATAACAGAGTGTGTTGTGGCTTTGGGATTCACTGTAAATAAATACATTAAATGCAAATTAAATATATGAATTGTAAATATAAATATGTTTTGAAGACTTATTGTTAAGAGAAATATGATATTAGCGCAGTCTCAACTCCATGAAGACTTCCCATTGCTTTTCTTCCTTAAAAGCGGTTTTGTTCAGGGTCCATGGTTCACTGTTGAGCATACATGTCCGAAAATGTGCTCATGACATCCTATCTGTTTAATTATCTCGTAAATGGCTATGACTTGCAGAGAAAATATACTAGACATAGCTTAAAACATGTGTTTAATTTCTTCCATAACGTTTGTTCTAAGAATAGTTTTTCTCTCGAACAGATATTGAGCTAGAAGCGCACAGCTAGAAGCGCAGATTTTCATGTTAAGTATCCGTCAATTTTTTCCCGTTCAAACGAAAATAAAATATCTCAACAATTTTTTGTGAAATTCTAAATTATTACATTTCCCCCAAATCCGCATAAATGGTGTGTAATTGCTCCATGCGTACAGATGAATGAGGGATTGAACAGCGCTATGAATTCGCTTAAAGCAAACTTTCCGTCACACTTCATTAAAATAACGCTTCTGCGTGCACTTTAGAGGTGTTCACAAGTACCTTCTTAATCTGGGTGCGCATTTTATGACGAATTTCGGATTCCGTTGCTATTGTTTCATTCAGCATTTATATAATTTGTTCTTTCAGCTTAATGTCCATGATATGTGTATTGGCCGTCTTAAAGTGCACTCAATCTCACACGTCACTTCACTACATGTTTCGGCATCACTGTGCCATCTTCAGGTGTGTTACTCACGTCAAGCTGATCGCCATCATGTGTCGTTTATAAAATTATCTAAAATGCACACTCTTCACTATCTATAACGAAATTTATATATATCAAAATTTGTTAATATCCATCATCTTACACGTCATAACTCAAACTCGCGTACTACGTCATTCTTCCACTATGGGAGTCGTTCATCCTATATTTTGTGTATACTGTGTCTTGTGATGTGTCCTTCTTCTTTGGCTGCGAGCGCTGTAATCTTTCAGTTTAAGTTTAGTACTGATGAACTACGAGTACATAATATCATATCTGATAATTCTTTAAAAATCCTCCCCGATTTGAGGAGGTGCTTGTGGCAAGACGTTGTTGAAAATTACGTACTGCATAAAGTAGTTCTACTTTCCCTACTTTTAATTCCTTATGTTTCACTCCACCTACCCCGAACGTTCAGAATTCTTATATTTAATTCCAATTGTCTCTTACGATCTCATGAAATACTGAAAGTTAATCTGTAATTCCATATTAGATACGAAAGCTTTTTTTAATCTCTGCGATCAGCATCTGTTTTTGCAAATGACTGATTTCCGAATGAGGTACATAATATTATGAAAATTTCCAAAGTGAAAGGTCTGTCATGAGACCGACCTACTTGGTTGAAGTCGTCTGTGGTGTTTCTAAATCTCTTGAAGAAAATTCTGGAATAATATATTAAAGACGGTCACAGCTACTTCATTCTATGCATTTCTCAATCCATAATCAACAATCATCCTCTTATTTGTAATTGCACATTACATAAGCCTAATGTGTGGAATTTGCAAACCGTTATTTAAAAAAAGAACAGAAATGGACTTCAGCTCAAATGATAGAATTCTGCTTCAGAATGAGCCCAAGAAGTGCATCACCCATGGTCACAGATGTACTTAATTTAATAACAATGTATTATAGTATAATTTTTATTGTAAATGTACAGGATGGAGGAGTTGTCCTTAAACCTGCAACTTCTGGCACTTTCCGGCATTGTTGAGCCACCGTTTGTTTCTGGCAGCCTTTGGAAGAGGTCTCTGTTCTCGCTGTACATGGTGACATCGGTTCTCGTGTTCATACCCGTGCTACTTGGGGAACTGCTGGCCTTGTACCACTTCTGGGGAGATCTCGTGGTCATCACCAACAACGTGTTTACTTTAGTTGGGAACCTCACTTTCTACGGAGAGGCACTCTACATTATCGCCCGTAGGGGGGAATTTATGATGCTCATGAAGAAGCTCCAGGACATGCTGGAGCACATGCCTAGGTTTGTTTACACAAATTTTCAAAATCAGAGTTGTCCTCAAAAGAGAACTCAGCCAGATATAAGGCCTAAAGGACTATCTGGCAGAAATGTTCCGTATTGGTTGATTTGTGACCTATGTAAACCTTTAATATACCAGGTTAAAATACAAAGCTGTCCTTGCGCTTAAGCGCTATGTTACGAAGATAGTGCAGAGCTCCACCCATTCTTCATTTTGGAAATGGACAGACGTAAGAGATCAGCTTTAGGCTCTGGGCATATGTTGAACTGCAATGTGTGATAAATACATCTCTGTAACAAATAATTTCACAGGATCGGTTCATCTAAAATTTATAATAGCAAGTATGGTTTCTTTATTTGCACTAATGAAACGCTTGGCTGAAGTTCACATAATGGATTAATATCTGTCCACTACTTCTGAGAAATCAGTCGTACATTGGCATGTTCTAGTTCAAAACTTACCTAGTTCATGATGTAGGAATATGTTAATTTTCTTATATATTGATTTGCTTCATTCTTGTGGCTTTATATCTGTTTCTTGGAGAGTTGAACATGACAGAGAAGCTCCTGTCCTTCCATTAGGGATTGTGTGAACAGACAGAGTATTTATTATTGAGAAGGCAGAAATGTAACAATGTTTTAGAAAGGAGTATTCCAGTGGTTTTATTAATTATTGGAGACGTTTCATTTGACATTTTTGCTAGCCATAAACACGAAACAAGAAGATCTTACGATAAACACTCGTAGTATATGGGGCACAATGGGTTCCAGATATGTCTAGAGCTGCTTGTATTTAAAACTAAGTACTGTTTAGCAAGGGAACCCAATTGTTTCACGTAAGATTCTTGTACCGACGAAGTTGTTTTAATTAATTAATTAGGGACACTTCTAGTTCAAATATGTGACTTATTTCGATCTATATCAGTGGTCTTTATTTACGACGCAACTTGTATAGCTCTGGCTTACGTCTTACTCCCTGGTCATTTATTTATACAGAAACCAACTCAAAAAATGTATATGATAGGGAAGTGATCAGTAACAGGGTAGATAAACAATAAAAGCGCTCAGCACATCAATTTATGATTTATTCAGCATAGCAGTGAAGTCTCCGCATCCTGAAATTACTGTCATTTGAAATTCACTTTGAGACTTGGATCAATTTATTTGCTGGCCGAAGACCCATATATGCAGCATTCAGGAAGCATACTGAAGTGTCTAGCCATTATGCCACGGTACTCCTGACAGCCTCCAGAGTCTTAAAAGTTGTCTTCCATAATCCGTTAAATGTCATGCCATCGTCACCTCATATTGTTCCTATTTGAGGATAACTTTCTTAGTGTACGGCCTATTGACGCTTGCGATGCCTTGTTAGTAGATAGTGTGGGTGGCGGGAGCTTCGCTCTGATGAAGGAGAATTAAGAAATAGGCAAGTTCTATGTTATGGCGAGATGCGTCATCCAGGAGTGAAGGAGTTTCCAGTTCAAAATTTGTCTTCGTTAGCCAGGACTTCACAGAGGAGCAAAAAATGCGAGAATCACATTCTTAAAGGCCACGTAGTAATTCGTGGCTTGAGGTTGGACTACGAAGAGATCTCCAGTTCACCTCTGATGGCTTGAAGACCTTTTGGTTATCAGAATGACACACAAGCATAGCCTTAAAGCTAAAATTCCCTGAAGCATTTGACGCAAGCAGCTAGTTTAGCCTGACTTTCATAGGTTTATAGCCTGGCAAAATAATGTCATCCCTGGTGATTCACATTCTCTTGGTCTTCTTCCGGAACAGACACAGTCTTGTCAATACTGGAAACCCGACGAGGGAGATGCTCTTCCTAATCCTTCAGTTCTGAAAAGTGAATCTTAATTTCCTTCTTTATCTGCACTTGCAGCTACCCATTGCCTAACCAGACTTTAGATTTCGGTTAAAAGAACGTAATAGGCCGTGAAGGCCCATAGGGTTTTGAGACGTCTAGGCTCCTCTAGACAATCGGCTCACAGATGGCGGTAAGTTTACGCGCCGGCCGCGCGTTACTCCCCAGGAAAATTCCTGGTACTCATTTCTGTTAGAAGCTGAGTCGACCCCAGGGCCATAGTGAGGTTTGAAAGAATAGGTGAATTGAAAAAAATCCACCTCATCGGGAATCGAACCCGGGGCCTTCCGGTTTGTAGCATAGTGCCTCAACCAACTATGCTAGCGCGTAGCCCCGCCCCCATCTGTGTTTTTTTTCAATTTGTGTATCATGAAGTTTCTGCTACTCATCTCAATATCTAGCTCTGTGCCCCTGACCCAGGCCTGGCGCTGAGCAGAAGATGATCGCTGAAAAGGCCACGAAACGCAGCCGGGTTCTCACTTGGAGCATGCTGGTCATGGTGTACATGGTGCCCTTCAGCTGGAGCATGTCTCCTCTTGTCGGCATGCTCTTCTCGAACGGCGAAGACATTCCAGAGAAATCCGTTCTGCTTGAGGACGAGGTTGAGGCATTCTGGAAGAGCCTTATATCTGTTATGTGGTTGCCTCTACATGACATAGAGTCCCCTGTCAAGGAGATTATTTACGTATGCCAGGTCTTTGTGTTCCTCATCACGGCAACCTACTACATTTCGGTGAACACCGTGTTCGTGTCCTTCATTGTGCAAACCACTGGCCAGTTCGAGATCCTCCTAGCCACAGTGCATGAAATGGATGACGCCGTGGCGTCATGGGACCTCGCGCCTCCTGGAGTAACTGGGGACTCCACGGATACTGTTCTAGTGGATGTGTTCGGGAGTAAGGAAACCAAGACAATGGCGCTGAGGTGGTTGCATCGAAGTGACGACCCGAGCAAACTGCGCTCCTACTTTCTGGATGTCATACGTCATCATCAGGCAATCATCGGGTGAGTATCGCACATCGTCATTAGGGTCACATGTTTCGTGGGTTTCCTTGAAGACTCACAACAAAAATCCTTTATTCTGGAATGTAACTAATAAGTAGCAATAACTGTAGGTTAGAGAACGTAACACAACATTCACCGAGCACGATGGCTCAGTCGGAGATGTTTCTCATTGTATTCGGGAGGTGTCCGTTTTGCAATTAGGCCCGAACATTATTTTATCCTGAGACACTTAACGGCTTTTCACAGTTTCATGCAGATGGATATAATTGTCTCTGATTATACCACGACGGCGTTCTTCTGTATTCTTCGCAATTACCTAGTTATTTACTTATCATCCTAACACTCGACCATGTACAGTCTGAGATACTGACAATCTCGTGGTCTGTATTTCGAAAGCGAACTATACCGACAGAGCGACCGCCGCTTGTCAGCGAAGTTAGTGCCAACTTTAGCGGATAGAGGGGTGTCATGTGATCTGTGCAAAGGATCCTCACGGTCGTTAATCTCGGTTTTTTAGACCGGAGCCACTATTTCCTTGAAATGGCTCCTAAATTATCCTCACGAGGCTGAGTGGACCCAGTTCCAGACCCACTACTACTCAGAATACCTGGTAGCGCCGGAAATCGAACCCGGGACTTCTGAACTGTCGGCAGGAGCTGTGAGCACTAAGCCATAGGGGCGACCGTCGTCAGATAAACCATAAATAAAATATGTTAAGACAATTCTTGCTAAGGTGACCACTCCATACAAGTTACATTTACCATGCAGTTTAGTGACAATGACGAATGAGCCACTGAGGATAAGCATGTGATATCTGGTATGCAAGGAAACCGGAAATACATCTGAGGACAGGGATGTGACACGGTGCAGTTCTCTGCACCTATTTCTGCTTGTTTCTTTTACCAGTCGGTCCTGAACACTGAGGCTGTACGTTCTTCCGGGACGTCAGTGAACTTCTGACGGACTACACAAACGTCACTTCCAAAAAGTTAACACTCTTCACTTTAACCATTTTAAAAATTATAAACTTGGCCTTGGAGCAGTATTTGAGATGCATGTCTGATGACATTAAAGTGGTGTTAATGTATACTAATGCCAATTATACATCAAAATATTTCATTATACTGTAAAATTATGCATGCTATATCGCAATTATTATTGCATATTTTCCTGTTATTTCCCTTCGAAAAAGTTTGGTTTTAGTTATTTATATGGCTATAATTATACTGACATGATCGCGGGTCTCAAGGGGCTTGACTCCAAGATGACCTGATTGGCGGTAAACCGCCGTTCTTAAAGTAACACAGTTGCCCATTATTGCCCAGTGACTGTGGTTACCTCTTTCTGAAGGTGCAAACAGGGTAGGTGTCTCCTCTCTCACCTGAGGACGGAAAGAGATCCAGTTCTTCTCTAGTTTTTAGAATATTGGGCGATGGACGAAGTTCAAAAACGCAGTCAATCTGAGGTTTCGTTCTCAGTTGACTCGTGCAATGTACACGTATTTAGCGACACTGTCAGCAACTCCAAATTTACAGCGTCGAGCAACAAGAGGAACCTCCATAAAGGTATCGACATTATATCTACACATGAACTAAGTGCTTGAACTGATTAAACAGCCACTTAACTAATTTACCAATTAACTTATACAGTAGGATGGCATCATATAATTTAGTAAGTACACAGTGTGTCCAGGTTCTGTTAAGACTATGTTCATTAAAAACACAAGACGTGAATTATTTTCAAAATTTCACTCTTTTTATTCAAAATAGTCTCCTTCTGAATCAATACATAGCTGGAACCGATTGAAAAGTTTTCGAAAACAGTCACTATACTACTTTTGTGGAATCGCATTTAAAACTGCGGTACATTCCCTCTGGATGTCCTGGACGGTGTCGTGACGGTCTCCTTTCATTGCCAACTTAACTTTTGGGAACAACCAGAAATCTGCTGGAGCCAAATCTGGCGAATACGGAGGATGATCAAGGACTGTGATCCCTATTCTGGCCAAAAAATGGCGTACAATCTTCGATTTGTGGGGTGGGGCATTGTCGTGGAGGAGCGACTAGGAACCTTGCTCTCGATATTCAGGTCGAGTTCGAAGAATTCTCCCCACAAACGATCTAGGATTCCGAGATAATAATCACAATTCACTGTTTGACTTTCTGGCAGAAATTCCTTGTGAATGATTCCTTTGGAATCGAAGAAAACGGTTAGCAGTGTCTTTACTAGACTCTTTTGCATGCGCACTTTCTTTGGTTTCGGCTTCTTTGGGCTCAACCACGCTGCACTCTTCCGCTTTCTGAGAGGATCTTATTGAAAACACCATGTCTCGTCACCAGTAAAAATAGATTTTATAAATTTTGTATCACTTCGGGCCGACCGTAACATGTCTTTGCAGTGCGACTCCTTCTCGGCTTTGATGCACGTGGAGCGCCTTCAATGTCCTCCCTGCCGCCACGAAATACAGCGTACCATCGAAAAATGTTCGAGCTACTCAAACAATCACTACCGTACACACTTTTCATCATTTCCTACTCTTCTCTGGCTGTTTTGCCTAACTTCAAACATTATTATTATTATTATTATTATTATTATTATTATTATCATCATCATCATCATTATTATTATTATTATTTTACAGCCCTTTGTTGGGCCTTGGCCCCTTTTTTAGTTTCTTGATCCTATACATAGTCGGTAGGACTCCTTGGAAGGGAATCAGCCCGTCTCAAGGCCTCTACCTACACACAGAATAAACGCACACAAAACAGACATCCATGCTTTGAGCGGGATTCGAACCCACGATCCAAGTGTTCGAGCGAGCGAAGACAGTTCATGCCTTAGACCGCGCGGCCACTGTGATCGGCAATACAAAGTTATAAGAGTTCTCGAACCAGCTTGCTCGGTACATTCTGTACTCATTTTACATAGTGACGTAACGACACTGTTTGTCGTGAGTACAGTAATAAGACATTTTATTCCTCTGACCGCAGATTCTCCAAACAACTGAACGACTTACTCAGTCCACTGCTCTTCATCTATTTCTACAGTGCCCAAATTATGATGTGTGTCATGGCCTTCCAGATGGTGCTCGTGAGTTGTGCATGTTCAATTACTGATAATGCTCAGACATTTCGACAAGCTTATAGTAAAATCACTTACTTTATTTCTCTAAGAAATTACAGAATAATGTTGTGTGCAGCCGTAAATTATTGTCCACCTGAATCAGGTTTTTAATACCAGTCTCAGTAGCACGAATTTAGTATTTCTGTACTCTCATTTGTAGTTTCTATAGCCAATCTTCCAAACTGGAGTCGTGAAATATTATAATGTTCTAATTCCTGGAGACATCAGTCATAAGAATTTGAGTCAGATCCATGGGTCAGAATATTAAATACGATGGCTTATTCTGCTATCACGTTAGACAGTAAATGTTTCACATGGTGTCAGAAATTAGACCACAAAAAAAATGTAGGTACATCAGAATGTCAGAAAATGTGTCTATGTATGTCACCTTTATATTTAACTGTACTTAAATGTGAATGTGAGACAAATGTTGCTCTATTGCTCTACTGTTTTAATTCTATTACTAGACAGACAATCGGGAAGTCCTCTGTACATCCATCGTCATAAATGAGAGGTAAAGTCCCTAATTTTGTGGCCAATCCAGTGTTCTCACAGCTGTGACTATGAAGAACACTATTTATGGGTTGTGACGCCGTGTAGTCTCGTAGTAATTCATCAATATTTCGGATGAGCTTGCTGCCTAAATCTTCAGGATTGAACGGTACCCCGGACAAGCAAGCAGCAAATAGAGTAGCTTGCTCTTTGCTTGCTTGACTTACTCTTCAATCCTTAAGATGGAGGCAATACGTTCCTCTGAAAAGTCGGCAGACTTCTATCAGATGACACGGCGTCACATCCCGGAAGACAGTACTTCTTTTAATCACGTTGAATTAAAAATGCATTAATAAGGACAAATTCTTCGTCATTAAATGGGCCAGTGGCGAGTCTTTGTGAACACAACAACGAACATTCCGCTGCCATGAAACACTTCTTTTTCAGTTGACCTAACCCTTCCAGCCGCACTACGGCCCTGGGGTCGACTCAGCCTCTAACAGAAATGAGTACCAGGAATTAATTAAACAATTCTCCTGGGGAGTAAAGCACGGCCGGTGCGTAAGGCTAACAACCTTACCGCCATCTTTGAGCCGATTGTCTGGATAATGTGGGACCCTCAACGTCTCACAAGCCTGTGGGCCTTCACGGCCTGGTACAGGGATAGCTTTACTTCAGTTCCATGCTTTGTCACTAGTTGTACAAAAATTGCTTTCGTAGAAGCGCGTATGGGTGTCTGTTCTTGTTGGACGGAACATGCTTGCAGTCACGGATCCGAGTTTCAGAAGGAAACCACATTCCTAAGGCAGTAATTCTCAGCCGGTGGGGTGCGTTACATTGGTAAGACTAGAAGACCGGCAAAGAGGGACGTCAAGTCAGGAAAATAATTCAGTCACACAAATTCAGTAGCACGCGTCATTCTTGCATCTCATAAGTAATCCATTATGAACCCAGATATGTACTCTTCTTATAGAGTAATTTTAATTTAATATATTAATAAAATTGTTAAATTTTAAGGTATTAAGAGTTTTTATTAATCACAGATATAAAAATCAACTTGATTGTAAGAATTCAGTTCTTGGAAAATGAAGGTTTGTGTTTACTATGACTGATAACGCTGTCTTGATAAAATTATCAATTCTAAAATTAAGGCTAGTACGTCTATCACAGCGACGGAGCATTCGTGTTAACCGTGTCTGCCCGACTAACGCTTCGAGAATTGAAATAAAAATGTTAAGTTCGTGGTTCAGTAGTACTCCACATATCAGCTGGGGGACCCAATAGATAATGCATCTTCTGCCACCTCTATCCACCCAGTGACAGACTTGCTAGTTATTTCCCTGCGGCTCATGCTGGCCGCCTCTGGGAGCAGGAGCAATTAAGAGAGACATGACATAGTATAGCCTTGAGGAGAGGAGGGAATGTACATACGAAGATATTCAATAAGAAGTTCTGGGAAGTACTGATCGCCTACTTCCCTTTCCCTGCAATTTGAGAATCTGATACTTTAAGTAGAAAGAAATGTTTAGTGTGTATGTGTAAGCAAAGGCAAAGCTACCCTTGTAACTGGCCGTGGAGGCCCATCGGGTTCTGAGATGTCGAGGCTCCATAGTCGGCTCACAGATGGCGGTGAGGTCAGCCTCAGGTGCCGGCCGCGCTTTACACCCCAGGAAGATTCCTGGTACGGATTTCTGTTGGAGGCTGAGTCGACCCCAGAGCCATAGTGCGGCTGGAAGGATTAGGGCAGTTGGAAAAAGAATCCATTTACTCATCGGGAATCGAACTCGCGACCTTCCGGCTTGTAGCATAGTGCCTCAGCCAACTACGCTACCGCGTAATGAAATCAATAAAACAATATAGTTTGGGAGGCTTCAGTATTGGTATCACTGACGGGAATGATTTATGAAGTACACTGTTGAGATGACATACCGTATAAGTCATCTCAACAGTGTACTTCAGCGTACAGTGTACGTATAAGTTATACGTGCCAAGTTTCTTGAAGATTGGTTCTGGCATACAAGTAATGTTAAGGTTATTACGTCAACAGTATGACAGGCTGCAGTGTTGGTATTACTGATGGGAAGGATTTTATGATGTATGCCATTGAAATGACCTGGTACTACTGATGAGAGGGATTTATTAAGTACGGCGTTGAGATTGTCGTTACGTAAATATCAAGGCTCATGACGACCGTTTGATACATTCGAGTGATATTAAGGGCATTCCCTCAAAAGTATGAGGGAGCCGTGATAGCTTGCTGCGGGCTGGAGGAGTAGGAGTTCGAGTCCCGGCGGGGCAAGAATTTTCACTTCTCCGTGTCGCCCAGACCGGCTATTGGGTCCACCCAACCTCCTATACAATTGGTACCTGGGGCTCTTTCCTCGGGGGTAAAGCGGTAGGGGCGTGAACCTGAACACTCACCTCCAACTAGTGCCGAGGTCAAGAAAATGTGGATCTATACATCCACTCCCCTATACGTCTTCATGGCGTAATGCTTAATTAGTTAAGTACAGGGACAACTTTACCTTATCTTTTACCTCAAGAGTATGAGAGGCTATAGTGTTGGTATTACTGACGAAAGAGATTTATGCTCTACGCCATTGGGAGGGCCTCAGGCGGCATCGTATATATACGTACGTACCAAATTTCATGAAGATTGATACAGACGTTCAAGCAATATTAATGATTTGTCCCAGAGTACCAGGAATCTTCCGGGGGCGGCCGGCGTGTAACGCTGGCAACTTCGCCGCCATCTGTGAGCCGATTGCCTAGGAAAGGTGGCAGCCTCGACGTCTCACAACACTATGGGCCTCCAGGGTCTGTTACAGGGATAGCTTTACCTTTTTTATACAAAAAAAATATATAAATTTTGCCTTAAGTTAAGTCACGATCCGTTACTTCCGCCATCTTGTCAGTTCACTGTTCACTATCATTTGACGTTACAAAGTCTGAGTTTCAAAATGCCCGAAGTGGGTCTGCTTTTGCATCGCCTTAGTGAGTGAGGACTATATTCGACTTGACCGAACTTGATTCGGATATTGTGCCACAAGCGTTATACTGCCAATTATATATTCTTACTGTACTGTATGTCCGATACGCGTGGTGTATGGGGGCCGAAATGTGGCCCTTGCACCGGTTCCACTAATTTCAAGGTACGCCACTGCGTTCTTCTTGATATGGTTAATTTAAAAGATTGTTTATGAGGAAAACTATATTATGATCTAAAAACACATTTACATGAGACGAAGCTTATATGTCTTCGGAGTCTATAACAAATATTCAAGCCTTCTAAACCCTACCAGTGCCTCTCTCAGCTGCATATGCCGAATAAAGGACCAAATACTGAAACGTGTTTACTTTCATGCAGACTTGGGGGCAACAAAACAATTTTCTTAAATTCCTCTTTGGGCTCCTCTGCGTTCTGGCCGGTCCTTTCTTCTTCTGCTGGCAAGGAAACGCCCTCATTGAGAAGGTATTTGCAAGTTGTCAGTGTCCTTTAAATCAATAAAATATTTTAAAAGCATGTAGGCTCTTTTGCTCAGATTTTCAAATCATAATATACAGAGTGTCCCAGGTGTTTGGTGCCATACTTCAGAAGCGTACTGAGGTTCCATATAGAACAAATCTGAAATAGGAACCCATGTCCACAAACGTAAAATAGCAGCGCTAGGGCGGCATTTAATATCATTCTGTTTAAACTTGGCGCCTCAATGTCGAAGAGCATGCACAGGCATATTACCCCCTCCAAACTCTTAAGACTCACCTGTTAGAGTAGATGTTGGAATTGGCGCCCTCCATTTTCAATGCATGCGTTACATCAACGAAAGGAACTTTGGCGCACCCTTTCAAATATTCCAGGTGTCTCAGGGATATCGTCACATGCAACAAGTATTCTGGCCAACAGCTCGAATTCATTATCTACAGAATTTTCAAATGACCCCAGACGAAACAGTCTAGAGGTGTCAAGTCTGGGGATCGGGGTGGCCAAGGCACTGGGCCTCCTCTTCCTACCCAACGACCATGACAAGCAGCATCCAGGTAGTCTCGTGATACAATGCTGAAGTGTGCCGGCGCTCCGTCATGCTGTGTCCATATTTGTCTGCGCACAATCAGTGGCACGTCTTCTAGCAAAGTCGGAAGGATACGTTCCAGGAACATCTTATAAAAGGGCCCACTGAGTCGCGGTGGTAGGAGGAAAGGCCCAATCAAGTGATCGCCAATGATGCCCGCACAGACATTGACAGAAAATTGCGCCTGGTGGTAACCAACTACAGTAACGTTGGGGTTTTCGTCAGCCCAAACGTGGCTGTTTCCACAGTTGAGCCAGCCATCCCTTGTAAACTGCGCTTCGCCTGTGAAGAACACGTGATTCAGGAAGTTGGGCTGATGTCAACACTGGTTCAGTATCCACTGACAAAATTGAACTCGCGCTACGAAGTCAGCTGGACCTACGTCGTGTACTCGCGTTGGATGATACGGATAAAGCTGCTGGCAGTGCAGGATCCTCCAAACACTTGATTTTGATGTCCGCTACAATCTTGGCAATGGCACGAGTGCTGCTGGATGGCTGTCCCTCTATGCAATGCAGTTCGACATTGAGGCGCCAAGTTTANACGTGCAAATACGTTACTGGGTACACTGTTGAGAGCAGGTCGCGGCAGCTGCGGCCGACACCAAAAGGACCCATCGGCTCAAATCCACCGATCTCAACGTGTGGCTTCCAAATATCGTCATGCAGCCCTTCACAAGCCCCACTCCTTTTCATACACATCTGACGGCGCATGAGCAATGAAATGTTACCCAACGTGTGGGGCCGTGCCATAGCTCAAGCGGTTAGTCGCTGGCTTCCCACCGCGGCGGCCCGGGTTCGATCCGGGGGTCTGGTCAAATGGGATTTGTGGTGGACAAAGTGTCGCTGAGGCGGATTTTCTCCGAGTACTTCGGTTTCCCCTGCCAATCTACATTCCACCAAATTCTCCATCATCATAATCACCCGGGGCAGGCTACAATAGGCCAATCAGTGGCCGCCGTGCCGACTGGCCCCAGTTGGACTCCAAGGCCCACTAAGCGAATTAAACCTCATAGGCACTATACTCATATAGCAATGATAGGTAATAGGCGACCAGAAATGTTTTCTTTTTCATAGAGGGTTAGTGACCAGTAGTAATCGGTCCCTCTCCTCGTCGAAGTGGCTGCCACACATCAACACAGAAAGAACAGAAAAGGGTCCCGACGAAACCCGGAACAATGATTGGCTGTGATGCTGAGGATCAGCAGCAATTTACACGACCGACAGGTTTGACACAGAATTGCAGCTTTACTTGCTTTGTTATGTTGGTGTGAAATTTCAATGTCACTGTTTCTGTATGCAGAGCGCGGAAGTGGAGCGCGCTGTGTCCGGGTCTGGGTGGTATAACCGCTCGGAGAGCTTCAAGCGGATGGTGCGATTAGTTATTGCGAGGGCCCAGCGCCCAGTCAGTCTCACGGCGGGAAAACTGTACATTGTGTCCATGGAAACGTTTGCTAAGGTAAGCAACCGCACACACACACACACACACATATACAGAGTGTTTCACGACTTTAGGGCATAACTGCAGGAGGTGATTTCCTAGGTCTTTGTGATCCAAAAAGTTCATATAAACATGTGTCCGATTTTGGACGGTTACGGAGTTATGACCGTTTCAAACTCAGAATGGAAGGTAACGATTACTGACAATAAACGGAACAAAATAATAAACCAGCATAATACATGACACATTTAAAGTATGAATGTAAAGTTAACTTCGTGAAATTACCTTTAATTTGAATTGAATGGTGCTTAAAGCTGATTTTCGAAAATGCCACCGCCGGCCGCAACACAGGCTGCCGCTCGGTTGTGAACCGCGCCGGACATACCAACCCACCCCACCTTAGGTACCTCTCAAGTGTCGAGATAACGAGAACGCTTTGTCTGTAGATCGCTAAAAATAGCGACCCTCCAGCTGACAGACGCGGTTCACATGAGGGCGTGTACGGGAATGAAAAAACGGTCATAACTCCGTAACCGTCCAAAATCAGACACATGCTTATATGAACTTTTTTGATCACAAAGACCTAGGAAATCACCTCCTGCAGTTATGCCCTAAAGTCGTGAAACATCCTGTATATAGCATAAAATAAACAGTCTGTAACATACGCTCTTCTGTCCATCGCGCTCTGTATCTCGGAAAACCATCACTGTGGATAAGAGCAAATACCAAAGTTGTTCGTTTCTGGTAGGAAAATTCAGAACAGTGTCAAGTTTACTGTTACACGCATTAAGACCGAGTCAATTTCTTTCCCCATTCTGTCCGCCGCGATAAAAGCATTTTGACTGTGACAAGAGGGAGCCGGGATGGCGCAGTCCGTATAGCGACTGGTTAAGGGATGGATGACCAAGGGGTGGGAATTCGATTCCCGGTAGGGTAAAGAATTTTCTCCACATTATCCAGACCGGCTCTGGGGCCCACCCAGCCTCCTATTCAATGGGTACTGGGGCCTCTTTCCCTGGGGGTAAAGCGGCAGGGGCGCGAAGCTGACCGTTCACCTCCAACTAGTGCCGAGGTCAAGAAAATTTGGATCTCCCCACTCCCCCCATACGCCTCCATTGCGTAGTGCTTAATTAGTTAAGCACAGGGACAACTTTACCTTTATAATTTCACAGTGACCATGGTAACGGAACGTGTTTGGAAGGCAACACAAATAACGTGCGAGTTCAAGAATCTAGAGACATTATGAGTAAATAAATACCAAGGGCAACAAAAACTAATCCTCAAATTGCAGTGCAAATTCTTCTGCATGGATACGGCACTCGCATATATATCGTTTTGATGACGTTCAAAACACATTTCCTTACCACGGTTATTGTAAATATATGAAGGTTATGTAGGCCTACTCACTGATGTTGCGGCCAAATGCTTTTCTTATTAATGAAAATATGGGAAAATAAATTGCCTTGTACTCTAGACCAATGAATGTATAAGCGAAATTAATCATTTTCCCGGATTCTCTCTTCAGTAGAAAAAAATCGGTTTCCCATTCACCATTTTTCTACAACTTGCCATGTGAGAGGAACACAATGAGATGAACGGATGTTTGGCCACTATACAAAGACCGTACTTCCATCATGCTTCTAGTGAAATTCCAAAATAGCAGTGTTGTTTTAAAAGGGCTGTGTCCTTCTGGTCATCGGTTCTCCCAGTTCTGTGCGATCATATACGCTTTCAGAATGTTTAAAATTTAAAACTATCTTGAAATGTCTTCCTGTCACTCAGGCAAACACAGCTGAACAAAACCAGTGAAAAGGCGCACTGCTTACTATCTGTCTTTTGCTATGCATGACATCTGCCTCTTATCTCTTCTAGATGCTGAACACGGTGTATTACTATTTCGCAGTGCTGAAGCAACTTCATGAGAAATGATGTCATAACAAGGCAGCTTGAAAGCAGAGTTCTGTTAGTAACTGCTTATAGTTGGCTCGGGTGTGTTAGCCGGGCTATAGCGAGTATGCCATCAATTGCATAATATGGGGTTTTGATATATGGGTAGCTCAGGATAGTACTGGTAGATTGAGATTCCTCTCGATGGGTCACTTCATGGGAGGAGATACATAGCAATCACAGCAAGAGGCACTTTGTTTCACCATTCATTCAGTAACTTTATTGAATTTTACAGCACAATGCAATTATGCTCACTCGTGCTGTTGTCACTGTGGGTATAAATCAAAGTTGCTTTAGTTTATAAATCAGAAGCGACCTGTTTTGATAACTTTAAATTTGAACTTGGGGGCAAAAAAACTGCCAATAAACACATCCTTCTCCTACTAATTCCAAAATGTAAGGCCTTTGTTTGTTTTGGATTTGGTCAGGTGCAGTTGGTGTTGGTATAAGTACAAATATTCATCAGTTTTGTAGTACATAGATTCTCAAAAACATATGCACTTCTGCCAACATACAGGCGTTAGTAACAAAAGAGAAGATTAAAGGAAGGTAAATGCAGTGCATGAACAGTGTTGCGGTAAAATAACAAGTGGATAAAGAAGATATCTCAAGAGCATAACTGATTAAGTACAGTGGGACATCAACTGCTTCATAAATTGGAAAATGTTATAGTACTGTAACTGAATAAAGAACAGGATTCTTCAATGTACAATTGTTCTTTATACTGTATTACTCCACAAAAACTGCACTGCAGTGTGAGGTCTCACCTTTTACCATACATATTATGAAATATAAATTGAAAGATGTAGAGGGACTGGAAAACTTATGGTTGTACTTTAACAGAATAATTTTTGAATGGTGGAAAGAATGTATTCGATACATTAGGATAAAATCAGTACATAGTCATTTTGGACAAAGGCCATTGTTGGAGCTTTTATGTCTAAGGATACATATCTGTAACTAACAAACTTGGCTGGATGTTGTATTCAGTAAATGCTACAGCAAGAAGCAATCTTATAATCTGACCACACACACACACACACACATATGCACACATATCGCAAATATCTGAAGATTACTCTTGGTTACAATTTTAGTACTTGGCTACAATTTTGGCCCAGTCTACCATTCAAGCTACTCAGTATAGTGGAATGTTTATGTCGTAATACAATAGTTGAACATGGAAATGTCAATTACTTCAGTCAAAAACTTATTACTTTAAATTATTAAAGAAAATCTACTATATTACTCTGCGGTCAGGGAATAAACGTGACTAGTGTGGAGACAAGCCAGTTGGCTGTTCTCCCACTCTAGTTATAATAGAGATCACCCCTGTACCTACAGCTGAATCACTCCTCCCTCGCTTAAGAGAAAGGAACCATTTACTTCATCATTATTCAGTGTTATAATTATTGTCATTCACCCCAGGCCCCTAAGGCCACCAAAGTGATGGTTTCCCATGTAACCTGCTGTTAACAGAGAAGGAAGAAGAAGAAAAAAAAAGGACAGGAAGAAAGAAACAGCCACAATATGTATATATATTGTGACATATCTAACCATTGCTAGGCAACGGGAGGTGGAACAAGTTACCATGAAGACAGACTATGGATAAACATTACACAACAGTGGAAACGAGGTTAGGCAACGGTAAGGAAAGTGGTGTTTCTTTGTGCCGTGCCGAGCCGAGCCGAAGCGCGCTGGTTGCTACTCGGCAATAAACAACTCTCGGCAGCGTTACCCAGCAACACCTGTAAGCATGGCGTTTATGCAACAATGAAGCAATGTGGGTTTTCCGCTGTCCGACTGAGGGTTTATAAGGGAGACTGGAATATGTAAGGAGTGAGTTAAAATGTAGCAGCCGCCAAAGACAGCTGAAGTCTAGCAGTCGCCGAGTTCAGTTGTAGTGAGTGTGGATTGTGAAGCCAGACAGAAGACAGTTATAAATACATGAAGCCTACTGAAGAGACTATTGTGGAGGGTTGTAAAGTGTGTAAACCCATAACAGTGTTATAAGTATTTGTAGTTACGACTTGTAGGTAGTTAAATAAACCAATTAACAATCTGAACGGCGTCTTCAGTAGCAAAACACGTTACAGTATATTAGTTGACCATTTGCCAACAGTTGGACAAAGTAAGAGTATACCCATAATGACAATGCTTTATGCGGTTGATAGCTGGGTCCATATGCGTTACTGTGGATTATTCTTTCTGACACTGCCAGCATTTAGACTTTATAGGACTGGATGGTAGGAAGACTAATGAATTTAAAAGGCTTTAGAAGGAAACTGTTGTGGCCTAAACAAGGTACTATCCTGGCATTTGTCTGGATGGAGTGAAGAAAATCACACAAAATTCATAGTCAATGTCCCAGCTGAGACTGAAACTGAGTACCTCCTCAATACAAGCCCAGAGGGTTACCACCCACTAGACTAACCTGGCCTGAAAGATTAATAAAATATTTTGTGACAGTGGGGGGGGGCATGCATAGGGGAGGTAGTGGCTAAGCTGTTAGGTGAGGGAGATTCTGTGTTCATTCTGTGCCTGACCCAATTTCAGTTTAATAACTGTCTTGGCTTATCAAATACTGTACCTATGAATAAAACTACAAATCATGTACTAAAAATACCAGTATTAAGTAGACAATTCGTGCCTATGGAATAATGTACTTTTCTGTTCCACCATTTCTCTCACTCTTGTTGTCTATACAGTCAACAGAATTATGCTAATAACATACTGTAGCATCCTGCTGCACATGACTTAGTATCAAATGTTACTGGTTCCACTGTCTCATGTGCAACATGTCTTTCTGTAGAACTTATTAAAGTTTATTCACTTTAAAAGTTTGCACATCATATAACTCTTAACTTTTTAAAAGTTTTCACTACATGTTTTGAATAATACGGTCATCATCAGGTGTTTAAAATTAAAGCTGGGGAAACTGCTGTGCTTCTGTTATCATAGCTTTGGCTAATCATTTTTAATGTATGGTTCCTTCTATGCATATGTGTGTCTGTAACATGTATAAATAAATATCTTCTATTATAATTTATTTATATGATGTGCGTTAATGTAGAGCATGATTACTTGTTTGCATATTTACTCCAAATGACAGGTTGTTTTTCCTGTTGTGTTGTGCTATGTGCCTGTTTTACAATTGCTTGCTGATCTGGTTTGATTCTTTTATAATATTGTCATGTGTTGGGTGTATAATGCGACAAATAACTTCACGCCGTATTGGATATAGCGAATTTATTCCACTCGCTCTTACAATCACACAATTTACAATCTGACAATTACTGCCATTGGCAGTATCACAAATACTCCGACGAAAGATAGACAGCTATTGACTGGTTAACTGACTCACTGCTGGCTAGCTCATAACTCGTAACTGCTGCCTTGAGAACTCGAGAACTTGAGAACTAACTGTGAATAGTCTTCACTGCTCCTTATTTAGCCTCGTTCCAGACAACACAGAAAACAGCCACGTAATAGGCACCACTGTTGTCTGGCGCCATGTTGCTAGCAACGCTGTCGGGAGTTGTTTACTGCTGCCTAGCAACCGCGGCATCCCTTGGCCACGTTACTGCTGGTGGGGAAGGGGAGGGTGTGTTGACTTGCCTATTCCCCTAGTAACGACAGTGCTCCGATGGTGTTACATCACCGCTGGCGTGGGGAGGGGTGTCCTGCATAGTGCAGCACGTCACAATATAATACCTCAAATATTGGGTTATAGATGTCAACATATTTGTCATTCATGTGCAATCTGTTTCTACTCATTTTATATATATATTTTCTAGTGTGTTCAGATGTTTTCCTTTTTTCTCTATTTTTACGACTTTCATTGTGTCAGTTATACTCCCAAATGCGTGTCCTGTATTTAATATGTGATTTGAATATATTGAGTTACCATTACAAATAAAAGTGGCACTCTGAACAAGTAACATGACACAAAACATAGTAAAACCCCACCCGCCAATAGATAAGTATGAGAAAAGTAGCATATACCAAATGAAATGTATGGGTTGCCCACTGAAAGATACAGGACAGACAGGCCAAACGTTTCATACTAGATATAAAGAGCACATACAGGCAATCAGCAATAATAACGGTAACTTCATACATGTTACACATACACATGTGCACAGAGGAGACCTTACATTAAAAATTAATAACTGAAGCCACAATAGGAGAAGCATAGCAGTTTCCTCAACTATAATTTTATACATCTGATGATAACCATTTCGGCTGAAACATGCAGTGAAGAACTTTCAAAAAGTTAAAAGTTATATGATGTGCAAAACTTTTAAAGAGAATAACCTTTAGTAAGTTTTACAGAAAGATGTGTTCCATGTGAGATGGTGGACCCAGTAACATTTGAATTATACTAAATTTTTTCAGATATATTACATATTTTATGCATCTGCACAAACAATAATTAGGCCTAACATTAAATCAGTCCTTGGAATGTAATCTACATCACAAAGGAAGTCCTGGGACAGCATCCATGAAGACTTACTTTAAACAATAACTACTCATAAATATCCAACTAATGGACTAACATCACAACAATACTGTTATATGCCATAACAATAAAGGATTGTGGCATGAAAACAGCCTTCAACAAAGTGCTTTACACTCTCGTTCTCACTGAATACCATCTTTGTACACTGCAGCTTACATCGACATGATGTTTGCAAGATTGGGCATGATTTCTGCCTGGATTGGTCCATAATCGACAGCTTCTCCATCTACAGTGATATGTCCACCTGATGTTTCAGGCTCCAGTCTGAAGGCAGTAACAGGAATCATTTCTGCTTGGGGAACTAACAAGTGGGTTCCAGATGAAAGACCCAGAAGGAACTGCAACATCAGAAAGGAAACTCAGTTTATGAGAATATCATATGCAATCTTTTTAAAACAAATTTCTTTATTCTATTTTATTTCAAACGTGGTACCAAATTACAAGTTCAGAAATCACTGAAATCTGTTACTGTTTCATTGGGAGACCGATCTGAAAGTCCTTATGATATTTTAACAGTCTCATTCTTGTGATTTACAAACTCTGTCAGTATCTTCCAATTTCCAAGAGCTGCTATCATTCATTGCACTTACATTCTCCATTTTATCTTCCATCAGTAAATGCACTTCTTTCCCCTGAACAAGCATCTGTTCACCCCACTTCCTTTCCTTTTCCAAGGAGTTCCTATGTCTTTATTATTTTAAGATTATCTATTAAAGATTCAGGCTGTACTGAATTAAATCTATTAAAATGATGGTAAATTACATCAGAAACCATTATGGACTAATTTAAGACAGTTCTTGAAAAGTCATACAAAAATCCTGCTCAGCTTTGAACCGAGGGTCTCACATAACAGCCATAAAATAATTAGTGCCTGTATATGTGCTGCTCGTCTGCGATACAACTGCAAACTCAGCTGCACTCTGAAAGGGACTGCAGTGCAGTCCAAAGACGTTTATGACACTACACACCAGAAGATAGTATTCTTCATAGTCAACAATGTGATAACATCAAATTCATACCTAGTTCCACTCTTTGTAGAAAAACAATCAAATTTAGTATTGAGTCAATATGATTTTCGATCATTTTCCACTTAATACCTGTTCTTTTACCTCCAGACCTATGCACCTCAAATATTCTCTGAACAGAAAACATTATGAAGTCTTCTGTGATATAGCGATACTTACTCCAATAAAGTCTGCTTGCTACCTGCTTCATGCTGGTATCTTCCTTGGCTTATTCTCTGAGTCTGAAGACGGAAGTAACATATTCCTCCAAAATGTCAGTTGATTTTCAACAGACTGTATGGCGTTATATACCAGAAAACAGAACTCTTCGTAACAACCACTGAACCTCAAATCCTCATGAAAATATCATATTTGAGATAAAATTTGCAGAGCTCAGTCTGCAGTATTTACCACACAATATTATGATGCACATGGAATTTCAGTTTGAAATATTGGGTGATCACTTCATATGCTGCTTAATTTAGCCATTATTCTTAAGCTGTACAGGCCCTCCCTCCAGTTGTTCACAAACGAATGAAAGACTTTACCATAAGCACCTAATCATAATAATTATTACAACCGCTAAGACACTTAACTGTTTCAGAATGCATATGTGCAAGACTGCTGCCAAAAGTAAAACTGAAAACAGAGGTTATAGTGACAAAAGTTGGAAAACCTTCAAGGGGCATATATGCACTGTATGCAACATATTCAACTTGAAGATGTGCAAAAACCTACTATAGTAATTCATATAAATGCTTGTGCTTTGCAGCACATGTGACTCATCATTTCTCCATGTTTTCCAACATTTCACCAATGTCATGATGCTGACATAGGAATATACACGTATTTTTATTTGTGAGAAAATTACTTTGCACTGCACATGGCACCAACCCCTGCTCAGGGGAAGAGGAGTTTCTCTGCCTGCTTCATGCTTTGAAGGGCCCAAGTGATGGTCTTCTCCTGTCTTGAGAAGGCAGTCAAATTTCTTAGGGATCTGGTGAAGGTCCAATGAAGGAAAGACTGTAAGAGGTCTCTTGACAGGGGTGAAAACGTGACTACCAATGAGAAGAAGAATTAGGCTAGTGAAGAGGTGGAACAGGTAAAGGAACGCTCTTCTCAAAGAAACTGAGGCCTTGGCTGGATTCCAACTGTACATTCAACTGGGACCAACAATAGTGTTCTGTTGTCCTTGTCAACAAATGGCAATGGGTGGCTGCAGATATCACACTGTCAGTAATCTGGTAGAAGAAGTTTCTCCTCTCACATTGGAGGGCTCAGCTGTTGGGTCCTCTGCTACTTTGAAATGGTAAAAATTCCTTGGGAGCTCTGGGAGGGTGAAATGAGTTTGAGATGGAAAGAAGTGTCCTGATCAAGTGATTAATCTGAGCCTAACTGGTACCAGGTGGGAACACTGCTGTCCCTGGTTTATACAACAGACTGGATGGAGGATCCAGCCATCAGTGCTCCGACAAAGGCTATCTTTCCCTGATCTGAAGGGCTTAGATGCTGAGTCGTCTTCTCCTCTACAATCACTGAAAGGTAGTCAGAATCTCACAGGGGCTCTGGTGAGGAGTCCCCTGAGGGTGAGACTATAAGAGGCCTCTTGCCAGGGCTGAATTACCTGACTACTAAGAAGAATGAGACAGGCTAGGGAAGGAGGAGGCCAGGTAGAGGAACCACAACTGAGCACCTTGACTGGTGCTCAGTTGTGGGTCCATCTGGAACCAGCAGTGGGGAATTAAATGTCCCTCTTGCTGAATGACAGTGGCTGGCTATAGACATCCTGCCATTAATAATTCAGGAGTAGATTATATTCCTGCATTTGAGGGGTCAGTTGTTAGCCCTTCTGCTGCTGAGAAGCAGCAGCCATGAACTCTCATAGGCTCTGAGGAGAGGTGCAGGAGGGTAAGGCTAAAATAGGTCTTTTCAAGGAGCTAAGTAATCCAAGTATCAAGAGGTAGAAATAGCCTGATCAGCATAAAATGGGTCAGGAAGAGGAAACCTCTTCCAAAGGAAGTTTTTGCAAATCAAAACTTGAAGAGTGACAAAGTTTCTCTCCTAGAAAATTGTTTCATATTGTTTCCAAATTCACCTGCAAAATTTTTCATTTTATTACATTTGTATTCCTGTATACCTCTTCACTTTCATTGTTATTAAGATACATTCAATTCTTAATATTGTTGTGTTGTAAATCTATGACCAGTACCTTCTATCTTAAGTATGGTTCAAGAAGGTCATGACCATAAGCTGTTACTGATAATAATATTGGTACTATATAGTTCCATGGTCATGAATTTGTGTTTATGGCAATGGTGAACAAGGAAATTAGAAGAGGGGGATTTATAATTTGACAAAATATATGATTTAGTGACATCCTGGTTAAGTCAATTTCATCTTTGCTAATGGGCTGATAATGCAACTGGTGACATTGTTGGCAAATGAAAGTTCATTAGTCTCAAGATTGATTTATAACTCAACACAAGTCACATGTGTGTGTCTGTATCATGGCATGTAGTAATATTACACCCATACCAGAAAAATGTTATTGTTATTTTGAGCCTAACTTTTATATGGTAAAGTGGATCATGTGAGATAATCATCCTTTGTCTTCTTCCTTCCTCCTGAAGTGTTTGTGATACATTGTTCAGACTGATTCAAACTGTTACCCTGGAATGGTCTCCTAGTCTCAAGTTTATAGATGAGAGGGGTGTGTCCAGATTTCCAACAATAATATGGGTCCAAACCACATAAAATTAATATAGGCTTTATCTTCATAGCACTAATACAGTTTGATCTTATATCCATTAGAATCCTATAAGATGAAGTTAACAGAGTTAACATAGGACAAATAATCATAAGCCTTTGTAAAGTTAGAGAGAATTAGTTGAAATATGACACTCTTATGCACATATAACTAACTGACCTGAAGTAGCTGGCTCCGACTGATACCAGCACGAATCACCAACAACCAGATTACTCCATCTGCCAATTTGGAATTAGGAGCAAATAGGCAGTCAGAGCCAAGATGTGATTGGTAAGATGCATGAACCAATACGAAGTCACCTACAGATATAGAAAAAATACATGTAACATGACATTAACTTAAGTTTAGAGTGATGTCAGGGCATTAAAAAGGTATGAAATCCTCATTTAATAAAATACCAAAGGCATTGTGTAAGAAACAAATCCTAAGAATTGTAGATGGATGAAACAGACTCAGGATCATGTTCAATGCCAGCTTTGCAATTTGGGTTATTGAACAGTTGGGCTCTACTAATGCAGTAAGGTATGAATATGGACGCTCTTTCTGGCCATAACCAAAAGAAAAAAAAAACCCCCAACAACAACAACAACAACAACAACAACAACAACAACAACAACAAAACAGACACACACACACATATATATATATATATATATAGTTTGCAGAGATATACAATTCTTTGGAATCTGCAGGTCTTGTAACAAGCTCACTCTCTTGGATGCCTCAAATATCACTAGATTTCAAAGACTTTCTACTAGATTGTCACACACATAAAATGAGAATGGAATTAACATTTATTCACAATGTTTAGAAGCAGAAAATACATTAAATGGAAGCACATGACAAGTCTTGAAACTGCACCCTCTCCAGACCTCAAGTACTATATATCATCAAACTTAAATGTACGAAATTATACAATAAACCTAGCAAAATGCTTCATACTGGTGCTGTCCAACTTATGTAACTGCAACCTGCCAGGTGGTTTTGTGTGGCCTGTGGGAGTATTCTTCCCCTCCCCATAATGTTCTCCTCTATTTGGAAGAGGTGGCGGATATTACTGAAAAACTGTATAGAAGATGCTCACTAAACATTTCGTGCAATTCTTAAATTGATTTCACATGATGCCAAATAACAACATAAATAAATGGAATTGGTTCGACTTCATGACTGTATGCAATACTGATACAAACTAGGTTTTGTATTCTCTTGGAAGTACTTATTGTTCATCATCTACCTACACAGCACTCATATATAGGGATGTTGTATAGATGGTTGATGAAGAATAAGGAAAATTGTCAGCAGCTGACTAGTAAGGCTGTCCATGGCCTGATGGCCTCATTATGCCCATTTACTACCATAAAGACAAATGTCAATATATCTACTCTTGTAAAGAAGAATCTTTACCCACAGCGCTCACACCAAAAAGAATTCAGAGTAGATGTTTTCTCTGTTCTGCTAGAGACAAGTTCATTTATGTAATATCTCTAATGTTGGTATATACAAAACTCCGTGATTTTAGTCTGCAAGCGAACTATAACGACTGAGCAACCGTTGCTTGTCGGCAAAGTTTAGTGCCAACTTTTGCGGATAGAGGGTGTCGCGTGGTCAGCGCAATAAGTTCCCATGGCCATTAATTTCGGTTTTCTAGACCAGAGCCACTATTTCCTTGAAACAGCTACTCAATTATCATCACAAGGCTGAGTGGACCCCATTCCAGACTCACTACTTCTCAAAAAAAAATCTGGTAGCGCCAGGAATCGAACCCGGACCTCTAGGATCTGTAACCAGGAACGCTGACCACTATACCACGGACGCAGTCTAACGTTGGTATATCATCATCATCATCATCATCATCATCATCATCATCATCATCATCATCATCATCATCATCATCATCATCATCATCATCATCATCATCATCATCATCATCATCATCATCATCATCATCATCATCATCATCATCATCATCATCATCATCATCATCATCATCATCATCATCATCATCATCATCATCATCATCATCATCATCATCATCATCATCATCATCATCATCATCATCATCATCATCATCATCATCATCATCATCATCATCATCATCATCATCATCATCATCATCATCATCATCATCATCATCATCATCATCATCATCATCATCATCATCATCATCATCATCATCATCATCATCATCATCATCATCATCATCATCATCATCATCATCATCATCATCAGTAATCTGTCAGATGACAGGTCCACAGTCTCTTCCAAAACAATTCCTCCACTTAATGCGATCTAGAGCTTTCTCCTTCAAATGACAGTATCCTCTTCTGTCCCCAAGGTCATCCAGCATCTTCTTACATCTTCTTCCTCGTCTTCTTGTCACTTCTATCCGCCCCTCTATCTTTCCTTCAATAACTTCTTTTAGAAGGCAGTTTCTGCGTATATAATATCACAATATATTCTGGTCTAGAGAACCGAAATTAGTGGCTGTGGGGATCCACAGCGCTGACCACGTGACACCGACTATCTGCTAAAGTTGGCACTAACTTCGTCCACAAGCGGCGGTTCCTGGTTCCGTATAATTCACTTGTGGACTAAAGCCACGGAGTTAAGTTAATATCACAATATATTCAATTTGAGTACAAGTCTTAAAATCTTATAGGTAGAGCTCTTATTCAAGTGCTTGAGCTTCACAGATTTAAACACTGTAGAGCAAATATATACACCATTACACTTGGGAAAGTATGTCTATAATGCAGTTCCTCAGTGGTTTGAACTTGGTTAGCCTTGCTCTATATTACCTTCAATGCTGCTCCAGTGATCTGGGACAGGTTGTGTTAATGCAGGCAGTTGTGAGGGAGGTCCATACATACGGACACTGCTGTTGAGCCGGCGAGGTTGTATGTCTCCGCCTCCTTGGACACCCATATATGAACCATTATCTGCCAGAGACCGGTACTCTGAGCCGGCAGTGGAGAAATATGCCGAATGACGGGAGGCAGCAGAGTAATATGAATCCAGTCTTGGGCGACCAGATTCAACTCCATCTCCTGAATCTTCCAATGTATGCACCAGTGAGTTTTCTAAGCTTAGTGAGTCTGTAGCTGCGTCCTCATCACAATATCCTCCCTATAAACAAATAAACAGAAAATATATCAATTGAATAGCTTTAAGACAATTATGACTACCAACACTAATTCAAACAAAACAGCCATATTTTCTCCTTCTTGTTCACTGGACTACACAAAATTATAAGCTATAAAAACAATCCTCCGTTTGTTGATTACTCAGCCAGACAACAGGAAAACGCCTCGTTTCCTTGCTGCCTAGTCGCCATGTTTACAGGTGTTGCTGGGCAACGCTGTCGAGAGTTGTTTACTGCTGCATAGCAACCGCGGCATCCCACGCTACGTCATCGCGGGGCGGAGTGTTGACTGGCCTCTTACCATAGTAGCGACAGCGCCCGATGTTGTTACGTCATCGCTGGTGGGGGAGGGGATGTCATCCATAGCGCAATACGTCACAATATGATGAAGAATGAATGTTATATTCTTGATGCATGTGAACATTTATCCTTGCAAAATTAGTGCAAGCAAGCAACTAAAGTAGTGAGTGCAAAATGTTTAGCAAAGGTTGGGAAAAACAATACTGCTTTACAGATGCAGGATCTATGACTGTGTGTCTAATGTAGGGTGATACTGTCTGCATATTCAAGGTGTTCAATGCTAAGAGCCACTTTACTTCAAAACATGAAGGACAGTGCACGAGTATTTTACAGTACAAAGTATTTTACTTCTGAAACAAGTGGAATGGATCAAGTACTTTAACAAGTTTTTTAGTGGCATATAACAGCTAAGCATGATAAAAGTTTTGTAGACAGAGAATTTGTGGCAGTGTATATAGTGGATGTAGGTGTAGTAATCTGGACACAAAATAGAACAGTATTTGAAAATACAAGTTTAACCCAAAGAAGTTCTTTATACAGTGTGGAAGAAATGAACAATGATTTGATAAAAACGCCAGATGATCTGATATAATGTTCATGTACTTCTCTATAGAGTCATTCCATGCCAATTCAACATAGTTCATAACCTTACATACTCTGATTTTAATTAAATTAGGGTCACATACTATAACTCTGTTTCAATTATGATAGAAAATGTTGTCATTTAAACTTGAAAATGTGGAGAAATTTGCCTCATAAACTATCACAAATGTAGATATTATAGGGTTCTGATGATGGCGTACAACACACAGACACACAGGGTTTTCAGACTTTGTCCATTGTCTGGATTCTAAATAACTAAGAAAAAAACACACACTGCAGTTTCATTTCAGCCTATATATACATCAAGCACATAACAAAAAAAAAAAGGTATGTACCGTATGTTCAAAAAGTATCCGACTTTATTTTTTTCCGCTTAAGTAATGGCCAAAGGGGTGATGAAATGGAGCCTAGTGGTAGAAGGGACTTTCATGCACATGCGTGATTTTTTGCTGACTCACAACACTGCCAGATGCATCTGTGGCTGCCAGATGGCGAAGTGGTGTAACACATGTTCGTCGCATTCTCGTTTCGCTCAAGATGACAGAACGCTTGGAGCAGCGATACTACATGAAGTTTTGTCAGAAACTTGGGGATACCCAAGCGGAAACAGTCCGCAATATTCAGCAGGCTTTTGGCGATGATGCAATGGGGGTCACTCAAATTAAAGAGTGGTTCAACCGCTTTAAACATGGCCGTATGTCGGCGGACAGTGAGCAGCGTTCCAGGAGACCGTCAACGAGCCGAAATGCTGATGTCATTGAAGAAGTGCGGACACTGATCATGGAGGACCATCATTTGGCCATCTGTAAAGTTGCTGATGAGGCTGAGATCAGCAGAGGTTCCACAAACACAATTTTAACTGAGAATTTGGGCATGCAAAAAGTGGCGGCAAAATTTCTGCCCAAGCTGCTTTCGCGGGAGCAGCAACAACTCTGCCTTGAGGTCGCGCAGGACATGCTGGAGTGCGCCAACAGGGATCCTGAGTTCCTGAAGACTGTGATCACTGGTGACGAGTCGTGGGTGTACAGATATGACCCGGAGACCAAGGTCCAGGCATCACAATGGAAGCATCCAACATCCCCGAGGCCCAAAAGAGTACGTCAGGTTCGGAGCAATGTGAAGGTGATACCGACTGTTTTTTTTTTTTATATTACCGGGGTGTTGTGCATCATGAGTACGCACCACTAGGCCAGACTGTCAATAAGGAGTACTACCAAGAAGGCCTCCACCATCTTTGTGATGCAGTTCAGCTCAAGAGACCGGAGCTGTGGGACACACAGCTGCATCATGACAACGCTCCAGCTCATTCATCGCACCTGATCCAGGGTTTCCTGGCCAAGCACGGCACTGTGCAGGTTTGCCAGGCTCCCTACTCTCCTGACATGGCTCCTTGTTAATTTCTGGCTGTCCCCGACATTGAAGACACCGCTAAAGGCTGCCATTTTGACAACTGCGAGGACATCATACAGAACGCGACGGCGCAACTGCACGCCATTCCAAAAGAAGCCTTCCAGAATTGCTTCCAGCGATGGTAGGACCGCTGGGCTAAGTGTGTGGAGTCACAATGGGTCTACTTTGAAGGCGATTAGGTATTGTAACCACCCAGATACAGAACTTTTTTCCCGGCCCAAGGTCGGATAATTTTTGGACAGAGTAGTACATCAAATTTTACTATATATTTTTAACACATTAATCTGCAGAATCTGCAATAAAAGTACTGGCTCGTGGATGAGTTTGGGCATAACTCATACGTATACTTTTTTTGCAGTTGTTCACTTAGATATCATTTTAATTCCTCTATTATGGTTTTACTCAAGTCTGTCTGATAATTACTACATTTAAAAATATATATTTAGGACTGTGCATGCGCTTCTACTAGCAGCATGTTTGCGCACTTCCACTAGCGGAGTTTAAATGCCCGACTGGCCAAAATGGGGTACTTTGGCCATGACGACCATACCCATCACTGGCCCAAATGGGGCACTTTTCCGTTAAAGGTTAAGTAAAAGAGGAGAAACAGACACAGTGAAGACAGTGTTCCCATACCCCAGTGGGACATCAGTGCTGTACACATACCTTGCAAGAATGATTGGATATCTTTCAAGTTTCTAGATAAGATATTTTGATGAAGATTGACTTGTGCATTGCCATAGGAAAATTTAGCACTCTCAGAGCAGAGTATAATTAAATAATCAACAAGAAAAAATGCTTTCATTCATAAATATATATGTTTCTTGTCATACTACTAAACAATTAATACATGTATTTGGTTCTAAAATACTGACTACAATATGACCAAAATTATATTCAAAACAAAATTCTACAATACACACATTACAACCATTCACAAGAAAACATTTAGTAGCTCTCAATATACTGATAGTTCCATCTCAAAATTTTCTATGTATGTTAACCAAATATTGACCTGCAATATACATATATTTGTACATCAGTTGACCAAACTGCTCTCACTGCTTTCAAGAAAAACTCTTAACCACAATACTGCATAAACTTCCCAATTCTATAGAAATATTGACTTTATCCATCGTCGTGGTTTTAAGATAACTAAGAAAAACACAACGTTTCGGAAACTGGATCTGTTTCCATCCTCGGGTGAGGGAAAACACCTATTCTGTTGGGTTCCTTAGAAAAAACTAGCCTCAGTCACTGGACAACCAATGTCCTAAAACACAAAGGTTATAAACACCTGAGACCAGGCTAAGTCCATGAGAGCTAATTAAAAAAAATACATTACAAATTGTTCCAAATATGTACAAGCGTGGAACCAGGATAGATAGAGTCGCAGAATACAATTAGAATATTCTAAGGGACCCAACAGAATAGGTGTTTTCCCTCGCCTGAGGATGGAAACAGATCCAGTTTCCAAAACGTCATGTTTTTCTTAGTTATCTTAAAACCAGGATGATGGATAAAGTCCAAAACTCCAATATCTCTATGTGTTATACACCATCGTCAGAATCCTATAGTNCAATTCTAGATTAGTTAGTCACTCAGATTCATCACACACTTTCTCATTCTCACAAAACTTTTACTTCACATATTATTTACAAAATCTGACAGTATTTCAAGACTGACAACAATGTTTCCACTATTATTCACACATTCACATGCACTATATAACAGTGCAGAAGTGCGTAAATGCAGAAGCTTCTTCTTGGAAATACTGGTTACAGAACTCGTTGTGAAAGGAATTCTTGTCTATGTATGAGCACTGAGCATAAACTATCTTTCCTCTGTACATTTATTATTACTCTTTAACATCCTTTCAGGTTTGAACTTCTTAATTCTAGTCACAGTTGTTCTAATGACAACACATTTACCATATAAACTTCATAATATAATTAAACATAAACAAGTGTAATGAAACATTTTATTCTGTGTGTAAGCCACAAACCTAACACTATCTTGTCTCTAATTCATGATTTCTTGCTAGCTTGCTATTATCAATACTTCAGGGTAGGCAATATGAACAAGCTAATTTTCAGATTTTTATCATTATCTGGGGTACCAGACAAAATTCATGGGAAAGTTTTCTTAGTGTTTCTTATATGCTAGAAGGGATAGAAATTGTGGAAAGCAGCAACACTTTATTTTTAAAGATTTGCTGCATAACAACTTCAGGAGGACAAAATATGGCATCGTCACTATTTTTTTTATTGCTAGTGGGGTGGGACTAAGTCCCTTGTACTGTGGCCACTTCTGGCCCATTGTACCAGCCACAGATGATAGGTGAGGGTGATTGTGGAGCAATTGGTGGAATGAAGATTGGCAGGGGAAACCGAAGTACTCGTTGACCAGACCCGGGATTGAACCTTTGTCCACCACAAATCCCACTTGACCAGACCCGGGATTGAACCCGGGCCGCAGCGATGGAAAGCCAGTGACTAACCGCTTGAGCTGTGGCGCAGCCCTTACATTGTCACTAAGGATCTGATTGAGGCACCAAACTGTCCAACACAGTATACCACATGTACAGCTATTCTTTCATGTGTGAGATGTGATTTCATTTTGATGTATAGTTCAATGGGTTCAGGATCCCATTCAAGATGACCACTGACTCCTTTATTTTTGTATGGATGCATGAAAATATTGAATGGTGTGCCAAACAGCTGGACATGAACCTCAGTGATTATGTTAGGTTTGGTACCTTTGGTATGGTAGATCGGATGAAGTTAGTTTGGTAAGTTAGATTTTGTTAGGTTTAGTTACATTAGGTCAGGTTAGGTAAAACCTTACTTTTATATGCACCAAAGATCGAAGATACACCCATATGGTTTGTTCATGTGCACAGGAACAAAATGAAAGAAAAGTAAATGTGCATATCACTCATTTATAACTCTCCCATCATTTTCAGTGCTTAAGAAAACCTGCAAACAGGGTTACTGTGGTACCATGGATAACAGAAAGTACCTAAGTTATTCCCTTCCTAAGAAATGTACCACATACTTGTATCTTTTGTATGAAGAATGATACAGCTTTAAAAAAACATAAATGCTGGAACTGTCATTTCAAGACAGGGTGTGCCTACCACATAGTTGTTCTTGAAAATGGCTTTAAATGCCATCACATGTCACAAACTCCCATTTTATATATATATATATATATATATATATAATCATGATTTAATGAACAATACTGAATCAGAACCTGAAAAAACAGTTATTTAAAAATATTATTATTTTCCTATCCTGATATATATAATAAGACCTGTGCATCCAACAAAGATATTTCATCTTTGGAATAACAGTGAAAATATAATCTTGCACTGAAAAAGTTCATGTGTAGGTATATCCTGAATGCATAATGAAATAATGTAGTTACAAAGACGTTCCCCCTAAAGGAGCAAGCCCACTTTCTTTGTACATCAGAACACATGTAAGATTCAAAGAGCCAGAGTCACAGTCAGAACTTAACCTCTCTTGACCATCAAAACAGACATTTTCAGAACCATGAGAGCAAGGCCAGGACTGGATATGATGTTCCCTTTCCTCACCTCTGACAATGGCAAATCTTTGTGAATGTGAGGAATACAAGACCCCTACCATTGGTCAGGGCCAACATTAAAATGCAGCTCCTCTCTGCCAGCCATAATTCTCATAATCATGCTATGACAGAGGGTAGCAAGGATAGCCCCCTCCATCAGTATTCAAGGAAGACAGCATTAGGCTTAAAAAAAATTAATTATAGAGATCCTGAGAAAGTTCAACAGTCTGCACTACTTCAGGAATGATCAAGCAACAATTTCAAAGGGAAAGGGCCAACAGAGTAAAGTGAAACCATGCCCACTCAGCATAAAGAAATTTATAACTTTCCAAACAGTTACTTGTTCATATATAAATAAACATTAAGTGGGACTGAATTAAGGTCTAATATATCAGTGCATTCAGTTCGTGCATCAAAACGTTCTTACAGAATTATACAAATGTTTTGTATATGTTGCATCCAAGAATAGCTTAAACTGGGCCATGGCCTTAATCCTGACTTGCACTGTATAGAAATTTGTGCATATGGACTTCAACATGAAATTCCCTGAAAAACGGCAAGACACAAATCTCAAGTTTCAACAAACACATAATTTTCACACACAAACAAAAAGAAAACAAACTCTGGTTTTAGTCCACAAGCAAACTATACCGACTGACACAAAAAAACAATTAAAATGAGATGCAATATGGTAACAAAGTAGAGGGAACACAAGAGTTGTTCCCACAGAAGTTATACATCAGTCAGAATTTTTTACAGGTACAATTTATTCTCAGAGTTCATTAAAGGCTAGCACAGTAGAGTCAGTAGGCACAAATTTCTGGACACACTGTGCACACACTTTCATTCCCCATCACATCGAATGTCACATGCATAGCCATAATGGGTTCATCAGTTACCATAACAAAATGAAAACACATACCTAGAAACTAATTCCAAAGACTTTTGACAGTGGTCCAGGGTTTGATACTTGCATTGCCATAGGCCCAACATGGATAAGAATCACTTACTCTACATTGCCACTTGAGGACAGAAACATACAAGTTTCCAAAACACTGAGACCTTTTTAAGTGACACATTTCATTACCTTGAAATCCTATTTAAAAGCCCAATGGGGTAAAACTACCTGGAAAAGATGAAATCAGACTCATGAGGTAGTTCTTTGGCTTTTCATTGTGCCCACAAGTCAGGCTTCTTAGTAATGCACAATGGGTTAAGAAAAATGGGATAGACAGTCTCCAAAATACTTACTTACTCACTCATGGAGCTGAGCCCTTCTGGAGGAGCTGCCAATTCTGCAGCTACTCAAGAATTTCCCAGCATTTTATGGAACCCGAAGGTTCATTACCGTGTTCGCAGGAGCACTCCACTGGTCCCTATCCTGAGCCAAATCTATCCAATCCATACCATCCTATCCTATCTCTCTAAGATCCATTCTAATATTGTCCACCCACCTATGCCTTGGTCTTCCCTGTGGTCTCTTTCCTTCTGGCTTTTCCCACCAATATCCTATACACATTCCTCATCTCCCCCATTCGTGCTACATGACCTGCCCACCTCATCCTTCTTGACTTGATCATTCTAATTATACTTGGAGAAGAGTACAGGTTATGAAGCTCCTCATTATGCAGTTTTCTCCAACCTCCTGTCACTTCATCTCTCTTTGGCCCAAATATTCTCTTCAACACCCTGTTCTCAAACACCCTCAGTCTATGTTCCTCCCTTAATGTCAGAGACCAAGTTTCACACCCATACAGAACCACAGGCAAAATTATAGTTTTTTATATTCTAATTTTTGTTTTTGGACAACAGGCGAGAAGACAAAAGGTTCTGGACTGAACGGTAGCAAGCATTTCCTGAGTTCACTCACCTCTTAATTTCCTCCTGAATCAGGTTTCGATCTGTTATCGTTGTTCCCAAATATCTGAACTGTGCCACATTTTCAAAACATCTGTTTCCTATCTTTATGTCATGATTTTGCCCTGCATTTTGGTGATGAGACAGTAACATATACTTAGTTTTCTCTGTGTTTACTTCTAGACAAACCTCTTTACTTGCGTCAATTAAAGTTTGTGTGTTTTTCTTTACGGTAGCTACATTATCACCCAGTAGATTCACATCATCAGCATAGGCTAACAGCTGATGTGTCCCATTTACTTTCAGTCCCACCTGGTTTCCTTGGACCTTCCTAATTGCATATTCTAAGGCAAAGTTGAAAAGGAGTGGCGATAAAGCATCTCCTTGTTTCAGACCATTCTGGATAGGAAATTTATCAGACAAATGTTTACCTACACGGGCTTTACTATATGTTTCGTTTAAACACATTTTAATCAACCTAACAAGTTTCATGGGTATCCCAAACTCTATTAGAATATAATATAATATATCTCTCCAGAATATCAGCTAAAAATAACATATGTCAGTACTTCAACATTAGCATCTGCTTTACAGCTTTAGGAACAACCAATCTTAACAACAGTTGCATATTTTACATAGCTGTATTATTGCACAAACTTTCATGGTCCTATAATGAATGGTATTAGCATTTACAACTTACCAACAAGTACACCTATCTTATGGGATGCTCACAGACCAGAAGCAGCCTAACCACATCACAGTACAACTTACCTGCAATGGACGGTAATGTACATCAATGCTGTCATGGTAGCTGCGGCTAGGATGGACAGGTGTGTATGAACTTGGTGGAAAGATGTCTGGAGGTTTGTTACCCGTTTCAGCACAGTGGCTTACACTGCGAGTCAGTCCACTCACATAATTTTGTGGAGACTGTACCTTACAACCTGCCACAGGCAGGTACCACAGTCTTCCTCGGTAAGTCCTCAGTCCTGCAACAGTTACCCAGAAAATACATTAAATTAACCACCAAGGACAAAAATGGTGGCATGCTCTGAACACCTGCAAGCCATTTGGATATTGAGGCACTGTTACACAGAAATGATTATAAAGACTTCAGCAGTGTTTTTCCAATTCCAGTGAAGGTACTGGGCAGAAATGGGACATAAATTGAGGGATGCTAACAAGCTAGTATGTTGTTAGTGTGCAGTGTAGGATAGTTATGTAGAGATGTTTAATGTACAGGAATAACTGGGAATATGCCATTTTAAATAACAAACAAACTTCGTGACTTGAGTCCGCAAGCAAACTATACTGACTGAGCGACTGCTGCTACCTGGCCATTTTAAATAACAACTAAACTAACTCAATCAACCAAAGTTCTTCTTGAGCAGCTGGCAGTTACTCATCTGTCAACAAGTTCCCTGCAATTTATGGAAATTTAAGGCTAATTGCCATGTTCACACTAGCCTGCAACTGGATTCTGTTATGCGCCAGATGAACTCAATAGTAACTTATCTCGATTTTACTGCTTGTTTAGTTGGCCCTCAGCATCATGCTGACACCATATATCTCAATCTTAGCAGTGCATCTGACCTTGTTCCTCACAGCCTGCTTCTTCCTATCCTTGGTGCTTCTGGACTTTCTAGTGGTTATGTAAACTGGTTTTTCCACTACCTAACCAACCGATAATCTCAGGTCTGTGTTTCTGGAATTCTCTCTTCACCATTTGAAGTACTCTCCAGTGCTGCTCAAAGATCTGTTCTAGGACTCTTGCTTTTCAATGTATTTATTAATGACTTGTGTGATGCAATTAACTAGCCTAGGTATCTACTTTTTGCTAACGATATCAAAACAAGTTTTCCTTGTTTTTAAATATTAATTTTTCTTCCATATTAAAGTCTCATGCTCATTAATTATTATATCAGTATCTTTCATTGGTTAATGTTTACTTTTCATCATTGCAAGCAATATATTTGTATTCACCTTGTAATCCTTCTTAGCAGATTTATTCAAAGATCACCTTTGGGCTCATTTTATCATTTTTATTGTTGTTCTTACTAGTATTGTCCACCTTTTATCTTTTTTCATCTCTTGTATTTTTAATCACAATGGCAACAAAATAACAGAAAGAAAACAAGAAATAAAAGAAAAAACAAACAAAACCACACTACAGCAAACAATATTAAAACATCCAAACAGGAAAATATAAATAATTTGCCTAGTTTCTCAAAACAAATCATCAACAACAAAATAATTTAATAAGACAAAACATATAAATGAACACTGATAAAAATGAATGTACTTCCTTGTTCTTATTTTTACTTTCTAAGAGATTTTTTAATTATTTATGAAGTTTCATTCCTCTTTCTAATTGGTGTTTTAACTCTACTGTCCCACCAAGATGTCTCCTTATATATTTCTTCTAACTACTATTGTTACATGTTTCTGCAGCAATAGCAGTAAAAGTTTTCTTAAACCTTACCCATTTTTCTTCAGCTAATTTTACTTCATCCAAATCTACAGGGGTTTTGTTTTTGTAAACTTTTCTTGAATATCTCCTATGTTTCGAATTTGGAGCTTCAATTTTGTCCCCTATGTTCCAACAAAACTTCTGTTTTGTATTTATTCTAAATTTGTCACTGTTAGGTCAACAGTCTCCTTCCAAACTTACACATTTCACTTTTACGTTGCTTAAATGACTCTTACGTGGTTCTGTTATTATTACACAGTCTATGGCTGATTCACATATTGATATGCTGTTGAGGGAAACTGTAAGTGCTCATTCTGAGAATCTACTCGTATGAAACACATCAATTCACTCTGTGCATTAAATGCAGTGTTTTCGATGTTGTATAGGTGATACACACAATTATCACTGTAATTTAATATGCCATAATACTGAGTTTGCTGACAAGGAAGAAACACCAGAGTGAACGTTACAAAACTTAAGAAATACTACCTGCATGCACACCATGTTCCATTTATGAGTGACTAACCAAGTGTAATCAGTACCGAGCTACTTTTGCATGTTTATTCTAATTTTCATCCTGAATTCATACTGAACTGCAGTAGTGATAGTGATCAGAGGTGCAGTCATGAAAATACTGAGGTGGTCTAGCAGGTGGTTCTGGGTTGAAAGAGAAGGTCATGAATCATGATACCAAGCTCCTTTTATTGTTTCAGAAACAGAACTGCATGACAAATGCACCACCACCACCAAATGCTCATACTTAAAGAGGCTGATCCTTTCATTTCAAGCAGAGAGGTTAGAAATAAACAAAGCTATAATTTATTTATATGTGACATCACTGTTTTTAAAATAAGTGCCATGCTGTGGGCAAGAACTCAATCAGTGCATGCTGTCCTGGACTACCTTATAACAATGTTTATGTAAGTGAGGCTCCTGAGGTGGTTGCTTGGTTATCACATATGTAATAAACTCATAAGCTTTTTTCCTTGATCATGGAAGTATTACTTATAATAAAAAACATATTATTTTCATTCATACATGCTATACAACAAATCTAGGCCCACTTTAATCCATAAGCATGCATATACATTTTCATGCACCAGGCAATGTTCACTGCAAGCATCCTTTTAAGCAATATTCAAATATTCCTTCAAGTGGTTCCACCAGCTCTCTGTCCATGGTATTGTGATGCTACATTGTAAAATTTAACATGTTTTGGAGCAGGTACTCTCTGACTGTCAGCAGCCACTTAAGATCTTGTTGTCAGCTTGTCTAGACCACTGCTATTTCACTATGCACCACTGCATTTTCCTCTTTTTGTCTTGTCACTGCCAGCACTGAACTAACTTACTGCCTCAGCATGTACATTGTTTCTCCAGACATGAATGCTGTATGCCACTTCTAAGCTCACAGTCACTCAACTCAGCTGCACAACTCGCAAACTCCACAACACTACGTATTACCCAGGCTGGTACCAAGAGGCTGTTCAAGAGCCATCTAGAAGTCAAAGCGCATGGGTTTGTGTCTATGTGTCTGTCTGTATGTATGTATGTATGTACGTATGTATGTGTTTGTTTGAAGTCATAAAGTTTTCAGAAAGAGAGGCACATGCATATGCTCCCTCCCCAAGCTTGAGTCATGTGACAATATGATTTAGTACACTCTGCATGATGTAGGTGACATCTACTCGTACATTCATTCATTCTTCAGTAATATGTCAAGACGACAGGTCCACAGTCTCTTCCGAAACAGTTCCTCCACTTAATGCAATCTAGAGCTTTCTCCTTCAAATGAGAATATCCTCTTCTGTCTCCAAGGTTATCCAGCATCTTATTATGTCTTCTTCCTCGTCTTCTGGTCACTTCTATCCGCCCCTCTATATTTCCTTCAATAACTTCTTTTAGAAGGCAGTTACCATCTAAGATATGACCAATCCAATTAGCCTTCCATTTTCTTATTTCGTGTAGGATATTCCTCTGCTCACTGACTCTAAATAACACTTCTTCATTTCTCACATAATTGGTTCAACTGATCTTCTCCATCCTTCTCCAACACCACATTTCAAAGCTTTCCAGGTGTTTCTGATCTACTGCCCTAAGTGTCCAAGTTTCAGCCCCATACAAAGCAATGCTCCAAATGTAGCATTTCACTAGTTTCTTTCTCAAATTTAAGTCCAATTTGCTGGTAAAAAGATTATTCTTCTTGCTAAACGCAGCTTTTGCCATGGCAATCCTAGATTTAATTTCACACATACACCTTCCATCATCTGTTAACAAGCTACCCAAATATTTAAAACAGTTCACATTCTCCAGTTGTTTTTGGTCTATCTTTATTGTGACTGGGGTTGGTTGTCTCGAAATTTTCATTACTTTTGTTTTTTCCACATTCATTTCCATGCCACAGCACCTTCCAATTTCGATTAGTCTATCAATCATACCCTGTAGCACAGTTTCTTCCTTAGCCGTTAACACAAGGTCAACAGACCAGAGAAAATACTTTTTACAAATTCACAGACAAGAAATATAAAGAAACTGTGTTCATGTTCCTGCAGTAGGCTAGCTGAAGAGGGGAAGGATGTTTGTGATTTAACACACAGATTTTGCAACCTCTAGGCCAGATGACAGACAAAGATTGAAACCCCAGTAATTCATACTCAAAACTGAATTATAAATTTCATGAGTTGTATATCTGGTACACAGACAAAATGGTATCATTTTAAACAAAAGACGTTGGATGGGACTATGGACTTGATTCATGGTGGTATTTACACATAATTTATTGTAAAAGAATGAATTCAATCCATTTCTAACATTCTTGTATAATGTGTGTGTCTCCCTTACCAACCTAATTATATGAGTTTGAACTTTAATATTGGCAACACTGCTGTAGAGACACCATGCAATGGAACCAAATAATGTTGCTTATACCACACATTAGTTACATACCTACCTTACCTCAGAGCAAATGGACTCTCCCTTCTCACATCACACGCATGCACAGTGATGAGAAGAACAGAGCCTCATGTTAGCTGGCGGTCTAATGTAGTGTTGTCATGATGTTTTCGAAACAGGAACAACAGAGTTGGATAAAGATGGAATGTGCCAGAGACCGTACAGCAAGACAGTGTCATCAAGGTCTTCAAGAGGTTTGCGGGGAATCTGCATTGCCTTACAGAACAGTGGCAAGGTGGGTAAAAGCCTTCAACGAGGTATGCCAAAATGTGGCAGACATGCGTCGGCCAGGTCGTGCCAGTGAAGAAGTGTATGCTCTTTCCGCATTAATAGAGTGATAGATGCCATATGATTCATGAGCTGGCCCAAGAGACAGGATTAGCGCATACGACTGTGCTTCACATTCTGAAGGAACGCCTGGGCATGAGAAAAATTGCATCATAATGGGTTCTGCATGATTTAACAGAAATGCAGAAATGGTTATGATACAATGTTGCTCGTAACCATTTGGAGCGCTATGAGCGCGCAGGAGAGGCTTTCTTATGCTGTATCATTATGCTGGATTAGACATGGGCCAAATCGTATGAGCCACAAATGAAACACCAATCGAGCAAATGGTGTCATTATGGGTCACGACGAAAATCAAAAGTTTGTCAGAACCCCAGCAATGTGAAAGTTATGGTGATTCTCGTGTACGACTGTGATGGTGTTATCCTAACAAATACCATTCCCAGACAGCAGACCATCAATGTGCAGTATTACTGTTCATTTTTGGAACACAACCTGCTACCAGCTTTTAGAAAGAAGCGGCGACACTTTCTGCAGAACCCACCCATCATTTTGCAGGTCGCGACATGCTCGGTCGCATGAAGTGCAAGCTGTGGCTGATTTGACCGATCGATGGGGCTGGGAAGTACTGTACCATCCACCATATTTCCCAGACTTAAGCCCTTGTGACTTCTACTTGATTCCTAAGATGAAGGAACCACTTCGTGTCATTCGCTTCAGAACTGTTCCAGAGATTCTTCAGGCAGTAGACCACCATATTTGAACTATCAACACAACAGGCGCTGCTAAAGGTATCCTACGACTTCCACATCGCTGGCAATGGGTTGTACACAATCCTGGTGACTACAGTGAAGGACAGTAAAACTTCGAAACATGCATCTATTTTGTATTAGTTGTAAATAAATAGTTGCCACTATTAAAGTTTCAACCCTCATATAAAACTGAATTCCTGTAGGTTTTACTATTTCCTTCTACCACTTTAGGTGTGTATGTGCATATATTCTACAGACACACCAAAAGTGTTGCAAGAATTAATATAGATGCACAACAATCAATTGAACATTTACTGACCTATAAGCCTAGCAACACTCCACACTGTGAATCGCTGTCCACCAATGGCCCGTAATCTTTCGGATTCAATATCAATATCTGACAGGAGACCCCAGCCCACGGACAAGAAGGAAAACAGGAACTGAAAAAAGAAAAACCTTCAGGTTATTGCTGCTTTCTTACTCCTACTCCTAACTCAAGAAGCAGCAACTGATGACTACTCTTCAGATGAATATTCCATTTACATAAGCTATTCTTAATACCACTTCTGGCATCAACACATTTTCATTTTAATTGAAGGTGAACTGCATGACTCTGAACCTGACGGTAAAAATATAATCCATGGTGATCTAATTTGGATATGACTTCGAAGTATGAATGTAAGAAACAAAATTTGTGGTGATATGAACTGGCTCAAAAAAATCATGTGGGAAATGTAATCAACATTCAAATCCTAAAAAAAAAGTATTTTTAATGGAACTGGAGGTGGGGGGAGGGTGGATGGGCTGCCATTTTGGCCTGCCCAGGATTCAAAGGATTCATAAACATGAAGTAGGAGTTGTAACATGTGAACGCCTATTTGTATACATAGCTTTTCATTACAACAAATACTTTTCTTCATTTCTTACACTTTCATATGGAATCTCATACTAAAATAGGGAAGTCACTGCACATTCATACTGGGTAGTGAAGTGAATGGCGTGAGCTTACCATACTAGTGATGTTTTAGTACATGCCCGGCTGGTCATTTTGTTTCGTGGGACAGACCTGCATGAAAACACTTTGGGAAAAAAAAAACTGGGGGTGGGGGGATGGAACAGTATACTCATGTACATGCCAAAGAATATTGTGGAGACTTTTTTTATCACTGAAAGACTAACAAATAAATAAAAAAACATAAACAGAAGTTGTATGACATCAGTTACATTTCACTCCTATTTTTTTAGTGTTAACACAGATGCCTATGCTACAATGCCTTGAGCAATAATGTTAACTTCTAACCACAGAGTCGATCCAAGAAGCCTTTCATTTCTCAAACTCTGGCCAATTGACCTGATTTGAACTCCTGAGGATTCGCCGCTGGACACCTCCTCATCATGTCATCTCAACATTCATAATATTAGCCTATAGAATGTAGATTCTGATTGCTGATCGCTGATTAAACTAAAAAAAAAAAAATTCTCAAACTCAGAGTTCAAATACTTTACATGGATGTTAGAAACATACATTCCATTTATATTACCACCCCTCATAACACTGTAGGACTCAGATTTCTAAGTCTCCCTCCTATATATCTAACACTGTGTCAAGAATCCCAGAAGTTCAACACTGTCAGCATGGAAGCCTGAAACTACGTTTCACAGTAGAAATACACATGCAGTGTGGCACTTTACACAGACTGAACAAAGAACATCACTTTGTTGGATCACAAGTGACAGATTCAAATGCTATATTCAGAGCACTGCCTTCAGATTATGAAATTCGAAGAGGGAATAAACAAGTTATTTGAATGAAAGGGATATTATACCCAGCAATATCATTATATCAAGAATACTGTTGCCCAAATTCAAATAAACTCAACTTTTCTTGCAACTAAAAGTAGAATTTCAATGGCCATAAGTACCAACAAAAAATATCAAAACTCAATATTGTAAACAATATTCCACCAAACATTTCAATGTATAATCACATAATAAAATGTTTTTCAATAGAGAAACATTCCATATTCAGGCAGATCTAGTTGGTAGCAGAAATCAGCCACTAAAGCGATATCATCAAGTCAATAACCAGGATACAAGATTGGGAGAACCTATCTGGAGGTTTACAAACAACAATCTTTATCAGCCATAGGCCAATAACCTGTCTTAGGGAATTTACTGCTACATATAAGACTCAAAAGAACTTAAAATTAAGCCACAACTAAAATGCTACTTATAATGTACAGGTTCTATGGCAAGAGTTATATTATGTATAGAAAGAATTATTGGGGAAATAATTTCATTATATTCCTAAAAATGAATCACAACTACCTATTACTAATTTCCTTTCTTAAGGACAAAATTGTATTTATGTGTTGTCTGTATTTCACCTCTTCAGCTTTTAAATCAAGTGATCAATTATAATGAAATTTGGTATGAATAATATTCCACCGCAGAACATGCCAACCTTGTACATTTGAATTTATTATAATCAGTAACAACATCACGGTGGATGTAAAATTTTGTGATATGGGAATGATACTACCATGAACTACTGATTTACTGCAGATGATGATATTGCACACGGTGACGGACCTTTGAAATAATATGCAACTTTTGCCAAGGTAATTATTTGTAGAATCTAAGACAACAACATGGCAACTATGCAAATATTCTAATTCAAATTTCAGTTGTCAGTGACACTGGTAACTAATATTCCATTGCAGCTAGGAATATGAAATGTTGTATAATAGTACATAATAGACTTTCTTGAAAATTATGTATGCAGCAGTGACCAGTGTGAAAATGGCTATGGTGCAAAACTTTGAGGTTATATCTGACAAGATTAATTAATTAATCATATTTAAGTTCATCCTTACTTAAAAGATGGTTGCCGTTATTTCTGTTATAACAGACAAAAGCAGGCTTCTGACTTGCATTCAAGAGGTACCTGACTGAGGTTATTTTTATGGTTTTCCCATTCAATCTAGGAAAATGTTGGAATAATACCTAAAATTAGACCATGACTTCTTCCCTCCACAGCCTTTCCAATTCAATCATTATTCAATTTACCATTCAGCCCTGCACATTCTGAGTTATGGACAGCATCCCTAAATAAATCGCACATAAACAAGATAACAGCCACCTGAGATGATCCTTGCTACAAACAACATTATTTCCATTTTGTTTCGTGCATATTCCAGTACTGTGCTTCTTTAAATGAGGCTCTGATTTATACTTAGTCATCATGAGGAAAACTTCATTACAACCCCTTTGCAATTCAAACATTTTCTCCGCTTTCCACTTAGACACGTACTTAAGTATGGTGTCAGTTGTCAGAACAATTGAGAAAACCCAAGAGAAAAGTCTTCACTGTAGCTTTGTACAGAACAAGGTGCACATAAATAAAAACAAAACTGAATAAGTTCAAAGCCAGGCACTTAGTAAATAAACACATGTGTGGAATGTTAACTAACACACATTTAAGATTATAGTCGTCTGAGATGTGATGCCAAGCAGTTTGGTAGATAGGCACCAAAGTTTTGGAGGAACCTGCTACCTATATCTTCAGAAGAACATAGCCTGAGGATGAAGGCAGGCATCAGGTTATTCCAAAACACTGGTAACCATCTACCAATTCCCACAGCATTACATCTGCAACCATAATCTTAATATTCACCACTACATGAACCTCAAATTTAACATAAATAGTTCCTTTGCTCCTGCACATATAAAATTCTCAGATTCAGCCAAAATATACAAACCTGAGACTTCGTTTCCACTCGAACCAAATCCATAGGTGTACACCTGCATTTTATTACAGACAGTGTGGAGATAAGAACTGGGTTCTGGTCATATGGCTCTCTGAAACAGAATTTTCATATATGAATATATATTTCAGAATATTCATGTATGGGATGATAATACATGATAATTTGCCTGTGAATTCTCTAAATATGTTTTGTTGTGTGTGGATAATACACAAATCCTAATGCTGTCCCCAAAAATACTGTTCCTGAAAAACCACTTTCCGTTTCGTTCCGTTCACTTTATACAGACAAAGTGTGTAGGGCGCTGAATTCCTCCTGAAAACTGGAGTGCCATAATGTCACTGTTATGAATGTGGAATATAAGTGAAACTGCAAAGTCAGACCTCACACCCTTAAAAATAAACCTTTATTATACAAGAACTTACCTGCTCATTTTGTAAAATTTCTGATATTTCCTATCACAAATTACGTTGCTGGTTTCAAGTTCTCCATGGTAAGATTTTCATATAACTTTTTGTTAATCACTAAGAGATGGTATTTCTTTATCAGCTAAAGTATCAGACAACTTTTACCTTCCATATTTCATTTTATCACTATACACATGCACCATATACATACATGTCAATAAATGTGGTTTTGCATATTCTATGCCTGAAAATGGAAAACTACTGTAATACAAGTACAAGTCAGACTTAATGGTTTAGTTAATAATATGTAAACTGGAGCAAACTGCATAATTATCTGAAAGTATGATATTTTGATTTAATATGTTCATAGTGAAGCATGGAAAACACATAGTTGTATTGAGTTTTTGGACTCTGTGATCAGAACAAACCCCGTTCTTGAAACTGACTGAGTTTCCATCCTCCAGTGAGAAAAAAAAAGATATGGGTTCCAAAATGCTGTGCTGTGTTTGGAATTCTAAAATGATGGAGTAAATCCCCAAATCATATTAGCCAAAATATAAGCCATGCTGTCTTTCCAGAACTGATGCTTTTAAAACCAGGATGCAGTTTATAAACAGTTTTGAAGCCAAATAAAATTCATTGGATTGTCTAGATCTGGTAAAGGTACATAGTATATCTGCACTCATAAGTACTGAGACTGGTAAAGAAGTATACAATTCTTTATTGGAGTCTGTCATAACACAACATAATGGTCAAGGTTAAAATTACCTTAGCTACATGTTTTGGCTTTTAAAGCCATCATCAGGCAGACACATGATTACTATATTCACATACTATTGAACTGAAATTGTGACAGTAAAGCTGGATACTAGATAACTGTTACGTTATAAAATATATGGTACAAAAATATAATGAATTATAAAATTATTATAAAACGAAAGTTATGGAGTAAAATAAGGCTAAAAACTCTTCATGTGATATTGCATATCATGAAGTTGAATCTTGTCATATTCCCGCAGACATAATGGTATATTCTAGACATGTAGACATATAGTAAACTGCTTGGAGGCCCATGGTATAGATGTAGTATTATTTGACATTAATTGTCTGGCCGGTGCCTCATCTTACAATGTATTTTGTCTGTTCTGTTGGGAATACAGATTGCAACTCAAGTGGTAAAGAAGTGCCTGGGTTGAACTGTTCAGTGATGGTAAGACAAGTGTTCCTTGCAATTTACACCCAATTTCGTACAATGAGAAAGTGGGAAATAATGATGAAAAGTTGAAAATCACGTAAATGCATAAAATACCCACATAACCAGCAGGCCCAGCAATATAACACACACAGTCACAGGAGTAAGACACAACACACAGCACAATACACATGAAAGTAGGAAGAATACTCCGACAGAAGAAGATAGGTGTGACTCGCGTACTGAAATACGACATAAGGATGACAAATCCTGAATAGTTCTAACATCAAATTTAACAGACAATTAAAGAAAATTGTTCTGCTGCATAGAAATGTTAAGCTCTTAAATGTGGATGCTCAAAGGAAGTACTTTACTAGACATGGACAACACTTAAATAATAAAGGCAAAGAGCTAGTTTCTATAGAATTAACGAAACTAGTAAAACAGTGTGTGGTAGAGGAAAAAACTACTCCTATTCCAAAGCAATGGAAGGAAGAAAGAACTGACGTTTTCAATAAAATTGTTAAAAACATTGAACCTGTCCCTGTTAAGGAAGCGGTAAAGTTAAATGAAAAGTTAAATGAAAATTTCTCCGGGAAAAATATAAATGTGAAAAGCTTATCTAACAACATAGATCAGGAAATACATTCCAAAGAAGTAGATAGAACTAATATATGTAGATCTTCAAGTAGACCAAACAAGGCCACAATCTCAAGAAATAAAGATTTTTTATGGTAGACACAAACAGACCTAAATGTTCAAGGAAAAGGGTTAAAAGGAGTGATGATTTAAACATCCCCCTCAGGATATTTCATCAAAATATAAGGGGTTTGAAAGATAAAATTAATGAGTTAACTCTATCTTTAATAAATGAGAAACCTAGTATAATATGTCTATCGGAACACCATTTAAAAGTCCACGAGATGGAGGGAATTCACATACCTAACTACAAATTTTGCGCAGGCTATTGTAGGAAGAAGCACAAAAATGGAGGTGTTTGTATATTCATTAATGAGGATTATAATTTCACTGTGATTAATGTTCAAAAATTTTCAAAAGAAAAGGATATTGAAATAGTAGCTATTAAAACAGAATTTAATAAAATAAGGATAATAGTTTTATGTATATATAGATCCCCAATAGGTGATTTTGATCTTTTTATGGTCAAACTGGATTTTATCCTTAACTCTCTCCAGAAATCTAATGTTGAATTTATAATATGTGGGGATTTTAACATTGATTATTTGGAAAATAATAACAGAAAATCAAAACTAGAAGTTTTACTAAGTACCTATAATCTTAAAGATAGTGTCAAATTTCCTACAAGAATTACTAATACTTCGGCCTCGCTAATAGATAATATATTTATAGATAATAGACGTAGCTATAGCATTAAGCCATGTATAAATGGGCTATCGGACCACGATGCGCAGGTCATTACTTTCAAGAATGTTCCTGTGCCAAACAAAGTTCTGGGCTCTACCTTCATAAGAAGTATAAATAAGAACAATTGTGAAGAATTTAAAAAATTATTAAGTTGGGAAAACTGGGAAAACATCTTTGAAAATAATAATGTTAATATTATATTCAACAATTTCCATAATACGTACCTAAGATGTTTTTATACCTGCTTTCAAAAAAAAAAAGTTGAGCACAAGGATTATAACAAGAAATGGATTACACAGGGAATTAGGATATCATGCAGAAGAAAAAAAGAACTTTTAGTGCTAAGTAGACAGTGGGATGATCTAAACCTTAAAATATATTACAAACAATATTGTAAAGTATTATCAAAAGTGATTATTGCTGCAAAGAAATTACACTATAATAAACTTATCTCTAGATCCAATAATAAAATGAGAAGTACGTGGGAAATTATAAACGTGGAAAAAGGGAAAACAAAAAGGGGCAATTGTGTTCAATCTTTAATGATTGAAAACAAAGTAATAAGGAATCAGAACAAAATTGCAAATGCGTTTAATAAGTTTTTCATATCTATAGCTGATTCTACCATCCTAAATAAGAATGTATGTTCAAATCAGGAACTACCCACCCCAATTGACTACTTGATTGATTCATTTAACTTGCCAGTCAATAAGATGAAATGGCAATATGCCTCTACTCAAGAAATTACAAGAATTATTAAATCGTTAAAGACAAAAAATTCGACCGGATATGATGAAATTTCAAATAGAATCATAAAAGTAAGTCTGCCATTTATAGTCTCCCCTCTGACTTACATCTGTAATAAAATTCTCAGTACTGGGGTTTTCCCGGACAGACTGAAATATGCCACAGTTAAACCACTTTTTAAAAAAGGTGAAACTCAAAATATGGCCAATTACAGGCCCATATCACTGCTAACTTCCTTTTCTAAGATAATTGAGAAATTAATGTATGCAAGACTTATTAATCATATAGAGTCAAATAATATATTAGCACAGGAACAGTATGGTTTTAGGTCTCACTCCTCAACTGAACAGGCAGCTTTCTCGTTAATGAACAGTATCCTATCTGCAATGAATAATAAGTTAATGGTAGGAGGCTTATTCTGTGATCTACAGAAAGCATTTGACTGTGTCAACCACAAAATATTACTAGAAAAGTTAATATTTTATGGAATAGAAGGGAAATTTAAGTCACTTATAGAATCATATTTAATGGATAGATACCAAAGAGTTGTAATAGGAAACAAATTCGACAGTAGAAGCTTTTCCGAATGGGAAGTAATCAAATGTGGTGTACCTCAGGGATCTATCCTTGGCCCACTATTTTTTCTGTTTTACATTAATGACTTACCTTCAATAAGCAATAGGAAAAATAAAACAGTACTTTTTGCAGATGACACAAGTATTATAATAACTGACATAAATAAATTAGAACTTGAAATTAATCTCAAACAAACTTTAAAAGATATTGACACATGGTTTAATGCTAATTTACTTGCTTTAAATTTTAAAAAATCTCAATATATTGAATTTCGTTCCAAGAATTGTTATAATATTACCCCAATGACCATAGATGATGAAATAAAATTACCAAAGGTGAAAGAAACTAAATTTCTAGGACTAATTATTGATGATACCATCACATGGAAACAGCATATTAACTATGTTATCAATAAAATTGCAAGGTCATGTTATGCGTTGAGAAACATAAAGCATTTTATCCCATTAGATACATTAAAGGTAATTTATTTTGCACACATTCACTCCATTTTAAGCTATGGCATAATTTTCTGGGGTAACGCTTCCTATGCCTGCAATGTCTTTAGACTACAAAAGAAGGCTATGAGAATTATTGCAAATTTTGGTCCAAGAGAATCATGTAGACATCTATTTGAGAAATTCGAAATACTGTCATTCTATTCCCAATTCATATACTCATTGATTTTATTCACGATTAATAATGATCATCTTTTTAATGCTATTACCATGATTCATGAACATAAAACCCGAACCCATAATAATCTATATTTGCCTTCTGTGAACCTGACAAAGTATAGTCAGAGTGCATATGTGGCGGGTATTAAAGCCTTCAACCATTTACCTCAAACTTTAAAAGAGTTGACTTTGGATGTACCAAATTTTAAGAGAGCACTAAAGAGATTTTTACTTCATCACTCCTTTTATTCCATGAAAGAATACTACCAACAGAAATGGGTATAATGTGTAATGTAAGATAACACACAGATTGTGACGATAAATGAACTGATATAGAAATATGTCATAAACTACAAATTATGTAATTATCCTGTTTTATTTGTCTCTTTTTTATTGATTGTCTCTTTTATATGCATTTTAATTTGACGCACTTGATTAATGGAATGAGTAATGAATGAATGTCTTAATGGAAATTTTAATTTTATTTTATTTTAGTCCATTATAAATCTTGATAAATTTCTTGATCATTGTTTAATGTGTATTATAAGTATTATAAGTTTACCTCATTTAATTGCAATATTACTGTATTATTGTATAGCTACTATGTATTCTAACTTGACTTGTTCCATATCCTATGGTGTCTCACCTGTACTGGATTTACGGAATGTAAATAAATTCAATTCAATTCAATTCAATTTTTAATATTTAAAATTTAGCAATATATATGACAAATATATATTTTAGTTATTTTAGTATAAAGACAACAGGGCATGCAATGCAGTAGTTCAACGTACATCGAAAAGCACCTGAAGATGGCACTTTAGTGCCGAAACATGTAGTGCAAGAGAGAAGAGTAAGGTGAATAAATGTATGCACTGTAAGACGGTCAGAATAAATCATGGACATAAATCAGTGCAACAGGACGCTAAAATATAACAATATCTTTTTTACTTCAAGACTGTACATTTTTTTGGGTGCAGCTTATGTTTGATGGCAGCTCATATTCAGGTAATATATTAATTTAACATAACATTGTCATGACCCTTTAGAATTGGTGTGCAGAAAACAAGGCTTATGATGTACAACATGGATAATATTGTGTTACTGTAATTTCTTCATCACATATGGACGGATTTTTCGGTATGTAAGTGAAACTATTATATCATTATAGTGTTCTTCCTGTCCCAGTTTCTGAGTTGGCTTCTACTGCTGTGATCAGGATTCTAACAACAAATGCATCACAAAAATCTGTGACTCATACGGAGTATATAGCAGGAATAAGATTCAGTGATATTATGGATATTAAATAAATAAAACTGGAATACCCCAGGATTTACATGATATTAGTTAAATAATTAAACACTGAATACACACAAACCAATGTGTACTTTACTATTCTTGAAAAATCCAGAAGCAGACTTACCCAACGGCATAGCTGATAGCTTTGGCTAACCCATTTCCAGATCCACATGGAATGACTCCAATAGGCAGTTCCTTTACAGCTTTCTGCCAGTCTTCACGTTCAAAGAGACCGTTGATCACCTCAAACATGATTCCGTCACCTCCCACCACAACCAAACCACGCCACTGATAAATATTTTTTGTGCACACAAAGTCCCTGGCATAGTTTGCATGTTTTGTCACATGTAAGTCAAAACACACTTCTGCTTCAGCCAGCATTGGGACTACCCTCTGTTGAAAGATCTCTCGTGCTTTTCCTGGACCACTCTTTGGATTCAGCAACACCAACAGCTTCCTCTCCTCCAGGTGTGAAACTGGAGAATGGCAGAAAATAAACATATGGTCATTAGAGTAACTGTAGGTTTTTATATATAAAGTCTATCATAACTACAGGTTTATGGCATTGGTGGCCATAACTCGACAACCAGTGAAGACACAGAAGACTGAGAAGACTTAGTATGTGCCGCAGTGAATTGTGGTGTGTGTGTATTAGCGCTGGCACTATAGTTACCTATAGTTACGATCCATAAGTGTTCAATAAATCCAATTACCAATCCAAGCCTCATCTACAGTCACTCAAACTCGTGACAATATTATCACTTTGCAATACAGTTTTTGTGCCACAAGAGACGCATATCAGCAGTTAAGAAGGCAGGATGTCATAGGTACATACTGCATATCATGGGTACTGGCAGACAGGAAGCCGGGCATCTGCCCCATTCCCCTAGGATTTTTTGGAAAAACCATCAACAGCGGAAAAAGGACTTGTGACAAATATTAATATCAAAAATCAAAAGTACTTTTAATATTCTGATGGTGCATGCTCCAACTGAGGATAATTTTATAAGGAACTAGAGTAAGTATGTGATATATTTTGTGGGTTACTTTACAATGCTGTCAGTATCCAGATTATACAGTGTTGAATGGTAGGACTGATGAATAACGAGGTGGAGAGGATTTGGAAGGATACAATCATTGCCTAATCACTCCAGCATTTGCTTGGAGGGAATGAGGGCAGCCATGGAATTCCTCAGTTGGTATTGCAGTTGAGATTAAAATCTACCACTTCCCAAATGAAGTTTCTGAGTGATATTCCTGAACCTGCATATTTGATCAGATCCATACAAATAAAATCACCATTCTGTTTGTAGATTTCAGTGTACAAATTTGGAGAGAAGACATTTCAAAACAAATATTCAGGGGGGGGGGAATTCAAACACACAACTGGAAAAGAGATTTTACATAAAATTAATAATGGTAAGGAGGTTATAGCAAACTGCAACAAGCCAAAAAGTCCATCAAGAATAAAATGACCCTGTATCACAACATTTATAAATAAATTTGGTCTCCTCATGACAAAATATGTTAACTGAATGTGATACTGATCAGTATCTGATGGTTGCAAAAGTCAGGGAAAGACTGTCGGTAAGGAACCAAACAATGAAAAAGTTTCATAAGGAAAGGTTTAATCTCAAGAATGTAACATGCAAGATCAGGAACAGTATCAGATTAAAATCGTGTAGGTCTGTGATGGAAAAATTTGGATGGTAATGTGGATATCAGAGGACATGAAAAGTATTGGAATATCAAAACTGTGGTCAGGTTATAATGACTGAAAGCAATATAAAAACGAATTGATGACTAATATCCAAAGTATTAGAATAGAGGAAGGAGAAAATGAATGGATATTATCTGAAAAAGTATTATGTCAAAGAACAGAAGTTGCAGGTACAAAACAAAAGCACTTGAAACAAATAATTGGAAACAAACATTAGGCTTGTATAGAGACATACATAAATGTAAGGACTATAAACTAAGACGTAGCTTGTTAAAAGATGGGAATGGTAACCTCGCTGTATATATCCACAATATTTTTGAACAGGTGTAAAACTTATTTCAGTTAGGAATTATATGGACATGGGGTTCATTTTAGACAGATGGAAATGCACTGACAATGATACTGTTACTGAACAGTTTAGAAGGCATACTCTCCAGGTACTGAACAAATTCTACCAGAATTCATCTGTGCAGGAGGTAAATTATTACATTTTGAGATGAACATCCATATTCATTCTATTTTGAAAAAGGAGGAATTGCCACAGAAGTGAAAAGAATAAAGTATTATACTGTTTTATGATCAAGGAAATATAACTACTGTGGTAATTACTGAGAAGTTGTATTATCAAACTGACACAACTTTATTCAATACTTTTTCTTGCATGGTCAATTCTGTACAAAGCAAAACCTACAGTAAAGTTTGAGCATGCAAATATTTGTCTATTCAGAATGGTTTGAAACAAAGATATGTTTTGCCACTCTCACGTCATAATGCCTCTATGTAGCTTCAAAGAACGGCACATGCCCTATACTGACAAAGGCCAATGTGGAATGGAATCCATATTAAATGAGTCTCCATATGGATACGTCTGTTTCAAGTGCAAAGGGTATCAAAATGTGTTTGTGATTTTTCATACCTCATGGCTTTTTAATTATTGCAAATACAGTCTACTGTGGACTGCTGGAGACATTACAGTGAGAATTAAATTGTTTATACATTGTTACGATTTCAGTGACTATAAACAGACTTTGGACCCATAATCGGATTTATTGAACCCCTAAACTTGTAACTCCAAATAAGGATTATGCTCTTACTGTTTTACATACTTCACACATGATTATAGGACACATTACGTCTTCTCAGACTGTTACAGTCTTCACTAGCCGTTGCTTGGTAGCGGCTTCAATAGCGAAAGTTCCCCTTCCTCTGGGTTGCCGAATTGACCCTGGTCTCAGCCACTAGCTTCTCACAGCTGAACTCCAGCGGTTATAAAACTTACTGGAACTCTTAACTTTCCCTGCTTATAAACATCTCTGCACGGACCGCGTAGAAAACACCATTCCTCTGTTGCATTGCAATTGTTGTTTAGCGATGGCATGACGTATACCATTGTTCCGTGCACAGCCATCGGCAGAATTTATAGTGGATCCATATGGACTAAAATTAAGAGCGAATTGTCATGCTGTTGAACACCTCTAGACCCATTACCACTAGAGAAAAACAAAATTTGCCAGACAACTTTCAGGCTAGGCCTTCCATATCGACGTTCACACCAAATTCTGCAATAGTTTGACAGATGAAACATTAACGGGAAATTAAGAAACATGCATGACATCCCCATTACACCCACAAAGACCGTACATAGGTCACTTCTTTGTGGCTTATTTTACGGCGCTCTCAGTATCTCGGACTACACAGGGCTGACTAGTAGGATGACTGGAGAGTGAATTTGAAAGGATCTGAAAGGAAGCGGTCGTGGTCTAATCGAGATGGGGCTACTATATCCGCATTCTCCTGACTGTACTGAGTAAAACTATGGAAAAACTCCGGACAGAAGGTGTCACAGCCGAGATTTTAACCGGACACTTCTGGAGTATAAGGCCAGAGCTTTATAGATACACCAACATCTCTGGTTACAAAGGCTGTTATCGATGATGGTGGTGATGATTTTGTTATTGCTAGTGGGGTGGGACTAAGTCCCTTGCACTGCGGCCACTTCTGGCCTCTTGTACCAGCCCCAGATGATAGGTGAGCGTGATTGTGGAGCAGTTGGTAGAATGAAGATTGGCAGGGGAAACCGAAGTACTCGAAAAAAACTGCCCCAGCGCCATTTTGTCCACCACAAATCCCACTTGACCAGACCCGGGTAGCCAGCGACTAACCGCTTGAACTTTGGCGCGGCCGATGATGATGATGATGATGATGATGATGATGATGATGACAGTACACTATTGCGGTGGTATGTTTCATTATTTATGGTCCATAACACGTACTGTGTGGGACAGACGCGGAGTATTCAAATGTTCAAGAAGGTGCTACATGCAGCCAACACTACGCTCTAAAAGTGTCAATTGCTGTACCTAACCGCAGCTAAGAAACAACTCTGCATCCCGCGCGACCACAGTGACTGTGCGACCCAAGCCGCGCAATGTCTTCAACCGCTCAATCACTGTGATTGTGGGTTCGAATACCACTTAGGACACGGATGTTCATCCGCGTTTTCCCTTGTGTTTGTCCTGTGCAGGCAGAGGCCCTGAAACAGCCGATCCCCCCTTCACGGAGTCCTACAAAATATCTAACAGATGCATAGTTACAGACTCCAATTCTGAATGCGAACAGACCAGTTCACCAGTGGATTTTGTGATACTGCCAGGATCAGACACATTCATATGCCAGTCCTCTTGCGTCTCTTCACATTACGAAACTACTACATCAGATTGGAAAGGCTTCGTCTAACGTCCCAGTGACGACAGCTTGACACAACTGTGATTACAAGCGATAACGGCTATGTAAGGGGTGTACACATGCCGGAAAGTGCCTAATCCGGCCCGATAACACTTTCAAACCGGCCCTCAGCAACATACATTAAAAATTCCAATAAAATATATTCGAAATATGCATTACCTGTGCACACTTGCATCGTAAATACAATTTCATTCGCCATAAGGTTAAAATGGGATTAGGGAACGAATGCTTATGGCCTACCGGTATGATTTTTAGCCTTTTCCGCTTGAAATTAATTATGCGCCCTTATATTCCTCTGTGTACAAATGACAGACATAAATTAAACATTTATAATTTTACACTGATACAGATGCGCGGCCCATGAAGCTTAACTAAACTGCTGATATAAACCCGCTCGTCACAATAGTTGCGACCTCCTAGGCTGTTCTGTGAGGGCCCAAAAATAACGACAATAAGTCCGTAAATTACAGAATACCATACTGGTGATTAATTTTGCTGTGTAACTAAAACGACTTTTTAGGTTGAATTTTTGCTTCCCTGTAAAAATACAAGTGTTTGCATCCCCTTTACAGTCCTGTCATAAGATTATCAAATTAACCGTAAAAAAAATACAGTACACATTTAATATGCGCACGAAGCATACGAAGAATTTTTTTTTCTAATACACAAATTCACGTGCAATTATTCACTGTTTAGTTTATGATATTAGTGCGATTTCAAAACTTTATACACCTAGTAAAAGTAAAGCTATCCCCGCACCAGGCCGTGAAGGCCCATAGGGTTGTGAGACGTTGAGGTTCCCACATTATCTAGACAATCGGCTCAAAGGTGGCGATAAGGTTGTCAGCCCTACGCGCCGGCCGCACTTTAATCCCCAGGAAAATCATTTAATTAATTCCTGGTACTCCTTCTGTTAAGAGGCTGAGTAAACCCCAGGGCCTAGTGCGGCTGGAAGGATTAGGTCAACTGAAAAAAATCCAATGACCTCATCGGGACTTGAACCCGCGACCT